AAATATCTGCAGGAATCCATTTGAACAGTGCACATAATTTAATGCCTTGCATGCTGTTTTCCTTTTCTAGCAGTGATTCATCATCAGCTGAAGATAAAAACGGTCAGGTTTGTGTCTGAAGTAGCATTTTGTTCTTTTTATTGGGGCCATTTATTTATATCATTCATTTATGGATTGCTGTATTGGTCTCACCTGTTTGTTCAAGCCCTGGAAACCTTGGAGCTCAGTAGTGGGGAAAAGGAAGGTCGGAATGAAATAAAAAGTGGAGATGCGGGGTATCGATCCCCATACCTCTCGCATGCTAAGCGAGCGCTCTACCATCTGAGCTACATCCCCATTGAATGTCAACAAGTTTAATTATAAAAATCTAATATATTAACCTTGGCGTAGAGCAGGCTAACTCAAGTTTTGTTTCTTGATTTTTATATCCCCTACAGACGATTCACAGGTCTAAATTGGCTGCTCTGCCTGCCAGTCTTCTTAAAATATGCTATCTTTTCCTCATCTACTTCCCGTTGACATGAGAGTCATGTAGCCAACATACTTAGGTGCATATGGCTTTAGAAAGAAGTGATTGATATTGCATTCATGTAGAATTAAGGTGTAGAAGTAATTTCGTTAATAAATGAGGATAATTATTTCATTCTATTATATTAGTAAATACTTGTGGAATTCATTTGCAAATTTCATCTCAATTCCTCGGAATTGCTATAACTAGTTTCAATGTCGTAGAATTCAAAATTTAGAATTACAAATGAATTCTTTTAAATACCAAACACAAAAAGATTTCATTTCAAAATGAATTTCTCAAACCTTATAGAATTATTTTATACCAAACGGTATGTAAAAGTGAAGTCCACCCATAGTATATAGCTTCTCAGTTCTCAAACATAATTAACTAAATAAAAAACTCTTCTTTGTCAACTCCTAAAAGAAAACGGTGGAACTCTCTTGCGGGCAAGGAAAAGTAACAGCTTCTGTTTTGTGAGTTCTGTAGTTATTGAGAAGATATTTGGCCGGGAATCTAATCGCACGCGAACGCTCTCTCCATCTGCCACCTAATCGGCGGGTCGTCGTCCCAAGAATCAATTGCTTCATTCCACTGGGTTGTTTCTTCGTCAGCGAATCAGTCTCTCCTGGGCATCCACATCTAGCTTCGGCTTCAAGAATCTCTGGCACAAAAACCATCTCAAACGCAGGCCCTTGCAAGATTTGTTCCAATCTCACAGTCTAGTCCCAACAAATGACCTGAACATCAATCAGCTTCTTAACTCTTCGTATCTGCTACTTGCAGCGGAAGTATTTGATTGTGTTGTACAACGGCTTCGCCAAAAACCATTCAGTTTTGTTTAGTGTGTTGTTTTTAAATGGATGGAACTAAAATAAAAAGTTGGATGTTGCCAACACTATGTGTGCATTACGAGCTCTCACCATCATCAAACAAACTTTTTAACTTAATTCTTCTGGAAAAAAATCACAGCAACTTGCATGTAAATTGCACTAACTATCATGGAAAAGGAAAGCAAATAATAACTATAGGCTGAAGCAACTGGCCTTGAAATTTCGTATCCAATTTTGAGGAGGTTGAAGGTCTAGTTTCCCAATTTTGAATTGACAGATTAAATAGAACAAACTCTAGTATGTGTCCCTTCTGTCACAGAGTTAATACTTGTAGAATTTCTTTACCTTCAGTATGAAGATGAGCTCTCTAACTTTTTCACAGCTCAAGGAAATAATGTAGTTGATTTCCTTGGCATCCTTCATTCAAGTGATTTACAAAAGCAGGGTAGAAGTATAAGCCAACACTTATACTTGATACCTCTTTTTCATGGACTCAAATGCTTGATCAGATGTTTATTTTACCTAGTTTCTTGTATTAGTTAATTGGCTTCATGGTATGTTTTGGTAGGCTTTGACACGGGCTTAAATATTGTGCAGGTTACTAACTAAAATGATGGACAAGAACTGGCTCTCGAAACCAAGAGAAAGTATTGCATATCGCAACGGAGTAGAGAACTTTTTGGACTATGCATTTGCTAATGCAACCGAGGGAGATCAGATTGTGTGTCCTTGTGTGAATTGTATAAATCTATTGTTGAAAAGAAGAGATATCGTGCGTACGCATTTGATTGTACGTGGATTTGCTCCTAAATGCAATCAATGGACTCATCATGGGGAGAATGTTGTTGAGGATATAGGAGATGCCGAAGTGATTGGTGATGATGATATGCATGACCTACTGAATAATGCCTTTGCAACAGAGAGTAGTGAAGAACCAAATGACAAGGTGAAGGAATTTTTTACTCTCATACATGATGCTGATCAAGAATTGTACCCAGGTTGCAAGAAATTCTCAAAGCTTTCTTTCACTATTCGACGTTATCTTATCAAATGTCAGAACATATGGAGTAATGCCTCGATGGAGTCAATCCTTTCATTACTCATCAAGGCTTTCCTGAGGCTAAGATTCTTGCATCCAATGCGAAAATGAAGACGATGATTAAAGATTTTGGTTTGAACTACAAGAAGATTCATGCTTGTCCAAACAAGTGTATGCTGTATTATGGTGTTGAGGATGAAAAGATGAAGAATTGCAGAAAATGTGGCGAGTCCCGATACAAGTTTACATCTGACGGGCCGGGGGATAGTAGTGAAGAAGGTACCCGTTCTAAGAAACAAATTGCATCCAAGATTTTTCATTATTTTCCTTTGATTATGAGACTGCATCTGACTACAGAAACATCAAGTTCAACATTGCTTCAGATGGGTTCAATCCGTTCAGAAGTATGACTAGTTCTCATAGCACATGGCCAATGATAGTGTCCATTTATAACTTACCTCCATGGATGTGCATGAAGCCAGAGTACTTGATTTTGTCCTCGCTTATCCCAGAGCCAAAATCACCTAGAAATGATATTGATATTTACCTCCGACCATTTGTTGATGAATTGAAGACCTTATGGGATGGAGTCATGACATATGATTCTCACAGCAAGCAAATGTTGAATATGCGTGGTAGTTTGATGTAGACAATCAGCAACTTTCTCGGATATGCCATGTTGTCTGGTTGGAGCACCAAAGGATACTCTGCTTGTCCTAATTGTAATTATGACACATTCTCTGGGTATTTGCATCATAGCCATACAATATGTTACATGGGCGCACACAGATTTCTTAGTGCAGAACACAACTGGAGGAAAGACAAGAGCCCTTTTGATGGCGAAACAGAGTTTGGGTTGAGATCGTCCCCATTATCTGGTTCACAGATCAAGGAGGAGTTGAAAGGGTTCATCAATGACAAGAAAGGAAAAAAGACAAGTGAGAAAAGTGGTCAGTTCTCGAAGTTGTCTATTTTTTTCCGAATTGCCTTACTGGGAGCATAATACACTTCGGCATAATCTTGATGTCATGCATATAGAGAAGAATGTTTGTGACAATGTTTAAGGAACATTGTTAGACATTCCAGGAAAGACCAAGGATCATGCAAATGCTCGTTGTAATTTAAAGGATATGAAAATCAGAAAAAGCCTTCATCTAAGAGAGTCTGCAAATCTCATGAAGAGCAAGTTGGTGAAAGCTTGTTATACCGTAGTAAATCATGAGAAGGAGATTTTTTATGCGGTCTTAAAAGGCGCTAAAGTACCAGATGGTTTTGCATATAATATATCTCATTGTGTAAATGTGAAGGACAAGAAAATTGTTGGGTAGAAGAGTCATGATGCTCACTTTATCATGCAATACTTGCTCCAAGTTCAGTGCGTAAGACTTTACCGAAGAATGTGGCTATTGCTATGATAAGACTTGGATCCTTCTTTAAGGCTGTTTGTGGAAAAGTGATAAACTTGAACGACTTAGATCACATGCAGACTGAGATTGTTGAGACTATGTCCATTAGAACGAATATTTCCACCTACATTTTTTGATGTAATGGTTCATCTACCTATTCACTTGGTGGAAGAGGTTAGACTTGGGGGGCCTGTGCAAACTCGGTGGATGTACCCGATTGAGAGATTTCTAGGTGTTTTGAAAGACTATGTGAAAAACAGAAGTCAACCAGAAGCACGCATAGCTGAAGTTTATTCAGCCAAGGAATGTTTGTCTTTCTGCTCAAGGTATTTGAGTGATGAGAATGGTGATACAAGGTTTACTCGACCTTCAAGAAACGACGATGGAACGGTTGCAGAGAAATATCCAGTAGCTTTGTTCCCGATTATTGGCCGACCAATTGGATCTAAAAGGAATGGAAAAGGGAGGTCAATTGACTTGGATGATAGCATTATGAACCAAGCTCAATGCTATATTCTATTCTATTGTGAGGAAGTCTGTCAGGAAATTGATGCATATCTCAAGTAAGTTGTTATTTGTGTTCTTTTGGAAATTGCATTGCTACATTGTTCTGTGTATTCATCACTTTTTTCATATAAACTGCAGTGAGTACCAACAATCACAAAGCGCAAACGTGCAACTAGGTGGAGAAGAGAGAAAAACCAAGCTCTAGATACAGTACAGTGGTTAAAGTCTCGCATCGAGAATGATAGAGCAGCTCCCGACACTATCAAACAGTTAGCTTTTGGCCCAAATCCTGACAACGTTCAGACCTTCTCAGGTTACATTATTAATGGTTATAGATTTCATAATCTGGATCATGAAAAGAGGCGTCAAACACAAAGTAGTGGAGTAACATTGATGGCAATGACATCTAGTTTTGCTAGTTCTAGAGATAAGAACCTGATACTCGCTAATGTCGCTTATTATGGAGCTATTGAATAGATTATCCAATTGGATTATTACGGGCACTTCAAGGTTATTTTGCTCAGGTGCAAGTGGTTTCATTTAGAAATGGATGATTATGGGCTTATACGGGTTAATATGTCAAAATTACTATATCAAGATGACCCATTTGTTATGGCAAATCAAGTAAGTCAAGTTTTCTATGTGCAAGACCCTGTGGAAACAGATTGGCACTATTTGATGGAGACAATTCCTCGAGACTATTTGACATGGGAGCCCATAGTTCAGTAGATGAGGTTGCTTCTTGTTCCCACGAGTCAAGAGTCTGTGAGTTGCATACTGCTGCACCAATTGATAGCAGTGAGATTAAGTGGTCACGGGAGGATGTTGAAGGAATACTAGTGGACAATCCTGTAGATACGGCTGAGCAGGATGTTGATCCAATTGAAACTGAAGAGACAGTGCCTGTAGATGAAGCAACAACATAGCTAGATGAACACTCAACAGAAGGTGAAATGGCAGAGGATGAAGATGGATTCTCCACTGAAGAAGAAACAAGAGATTCTTAAGATGAATACTATGAGTGATTGGTTAATTATTTGTAAGTTTTGTGCTTTATTTACGCTGTCTTGTTTTGGTCAAGTTTTTTATAAGATATGGGAGTGCAAGTGATTTCTTTTTCTTTACCGAATAATGTAGACTGTAGACTTACCCCTTTTTGTTTTGTACCCTTTCGTTGCACTACAGATTAATTTACAGAATACTCAAAAGATTACAAAGTTGGCCGATTCTGAAGGAAAAGCATGCTTCTGTTAGCTTTATCCCACTATAATTCGCTTTCAGTTTTATCTTTGGTGGTTCAATTCTTACCCTGCTATAGGCATGATCCAAAAATCAAAACAATGTACAGACTACATGTAAACCTCCCCACATTATGCAAGCTATTACCTGCAAAAGCACAATACTTAAGATGGGCAAGACTTGACTTTATTAACTGTTGCTATAACAAACTAGATATGATACTGACATCAAAACATGTCTAGCCATAGGAACTAAACTAAGGTATCACAATTGGAGCTTAAAAAATTGGTAAGAGCTAAGAAAATTTTGGAACTACGAGTTGAACCTAACATATTCAATGAAAAAACACAATTCCTTCAAATGACTCAGATTGACCTGGCCTATTCTCTTATCTCTGTGTTCGCCATTGCATTCCCACCGCTCCTGTTAGCCTCAGTATGAAGGTCTACCAGCAAGAAGTCAAACATGTCCTGGGGGATGACAAGAGATGGGTTGGATTCCTTCAACGAGGCCATAACATTACGCAAGTAATTTGATAGATGAGATGTTTGTTAATCTAGCTTGTTTTGCACATCGTCAGGCAGCCCAGATGTGTTTGGGGTCGTTCCTTTTTCTTGATTTATCGTAGAAGCCTCAAGTTTCCTCTTTAATATGGTTAGAGTCACTCGTCGTCCATGGAATCGTAAATTTGCCCTCGTACCTAATTCTTCTTGCTCTTCTTCTCCTTCTCCTTCAACGGCAGTCTGTAACTCCTCAAATTGGACCTAAAGTGTAACATGTGATGAGATAAAGGACTTCTTTAAAACATAAGTTCTATGAGAACAATTCTTACTCTTGTATTTTCATCCATATCGGGACCTTCATTCACTTTACGAGTTCGGAGAAACATTTCAATTTCAGTTGGCTCTTCATCATTTCCCTTCTCATTCTTCTACATTAGTTGAAGAAACAGATACACAGGATTTACTATAAAAGAACTGAAATCACGGATAGAAAAGGAGTCCTTAGAATAATCTACCAGCTGATGGCGATGTCGTGCATAGCTCTTCCTTCCTGATTTATGTTGATTCACCTGACCCTCTCGAGCCTTGGTGTTTCTGTCACTTTTCTCCTGTAAATTCAATGAAATTTAGCCAACTTTTACACAATGAACATTATAGGCCAAGATTTTTTTATTAACCGGAGGTTACCTTCACAGCTGGCCTCTCCCAATGATCCAACAAATCATCCAATACATTTTTTGGAATTGTATCTGGACAATTTGCCAACTTTTCCGCTCTTGTTTTGAACGCTTCCATCTTCCATTTAGTGACACGCTTATGTATTCTCCATGCTGATGATACCGTCTCCATAACCCACTTCTCACAAATGGGTGGAACTACATACTTGGACTACAGGATACATGAAGTTTCACTTAATTATAACATAGAAAGCTTAAGCTTCAAAATATTAGGGAAATTTTATAGTGAATTGGGGACTGATATACATACCTTAACATAATTCATCACATTTAGTTTCTTCCCTTTTGGAACATGAGGCCATGAAACATAATTCAGAGGGAGAAACTTGCTGCTTCGCGCCATAGTTCCCAAGAAACTACTAAATCGGTTGCAAATCTTATCATTTTGAACAGGTTGTCTGAATTCATTGACAATGATAGTCTCACGTTCTTCAAGTTCTAGGGCGTGAATCGCATTGCATTTTGTTGGGCCTCTTGTTCTCTTATGCACTACAAATTGAGATAAATATATATAGGGTCAATAGAATGACATGAGCAAGGAATAAGTTTTTGAATACCAATTCATATACCTACGTTTTCTGCCCTATTGTCAACTTCAGGGGCCAATAGTACCTCAGATGCATCCCCTACTTCATCTTCACTGCAATCTTGGTCAGTGGAATCATATTCACCATCATCTTCCATTTCGTAATCCTCATCTTCCTCCTCACGCTCATTCCACGATGGTCCTTTGAGTGACTTTCGATGCTCGTTAAAGTGATTGGTAGAAATCGGCTTTGAAGATGTGAACTCCTTGCTGGGAATAGACACCTTCTTCGAATATCCAACATACCTTCTAGAGATGTAAACTTCATTTCGTGTTGATTGTGAAAGTTGTTTAGCTGGCTTCTCCTTGAGTGTTGAGCCGACTTCGATTCTGGATCTCTTCATGGGACTTGGGCCAATCATTTTATTCAGACTCCTAGGTTCTTGTTCTGATTGTTTCATCAATTTATTTTTTATCATTAACAAAACAAAAATTATGACTACTGTACCATATACTTTTCTCCGAGCAATTAAATATTTCTCTCATTTTTATTGTTTCAGCAAGAAATAAGAGGGGCGTCACAACCTGCAATGCTGTCGTGCTGGCCACTAAAGATGGGGATAAGCTGGAGGTTTATTTTCCGGAATCAGACACACAAGCTGTAGGTAATAACACTCGGCATCTAGTTAGTTTTTGCGGAGTTGTGATCAGGAAACATGTTTAGTTGAGCAACAAGAGTTGGGATGAGGTGGAGGAAGAAATTGACAATAAATTGTGTTCTTTAATGGAGGTAAGATCATTTTTGGACTTATCATTTATGTAGTTAATATTTATTTTGCTCATGTAAAATATTCTTCAATATATAGTATTGAACTACTGTGTATGTAGGATAAATTCAAGAGCAATTGTAGTGAGAAACTCAGATCTTTTATATTGAAGAAACTGAAAAAGGCGTATTCAACCATGTGTTACAACACCCGCAAAAAAAAAAAAATCAAGAGATGGATGAAAGTCAAAGGGAGAGTTATGTTCCTCAAGGCATTGCTAGTGAAGAGGGAAATGAGCTATTGCCAAGTGGGAATCCGAAACATTTTTTTTTTTTGTCATAGATCGGGAAGGTAATAGATATTACAGGACACTAGACAACCAAACGCGACACTCGACACTAAATCGAGCTGTCGATGAAAGGGCATAAGAAGCCACTGAGTGGGCAGCCCTGTTGTACAACCTTGGCGTAAACGTACAAACAAAGAAATGAAAAGACTCGGAAACCAAACAAATCTCGTCTAAGACCGCTCCACAAGTCCCATGCGCCACATCCCGGTCTTGAATCCTGCGAATCAATGGTTGACAGTCTCCACAGAAATTGGCTACCTTAAACCCATGCAACAAACACCAATTAATCGCATCACGAAAAGCTAAAGCTTCAGATACAAATGGATCAGACACACCTGGATAAAATTGCCCGAATGCGAACAGAACCTGCCCCTCAGGGGTATGGCCTACATAGCCAGCGCCACCACCGATTCCCCGCTTGTACGCGCCATCAAACCTGACCAAAATCCCATCCGTTGGACATTTAAAGTAAGTACATATCTTAGAATGTATTATATGAAAGTTTTGCCTATTTTTTCTTTCGTACATTAATATTACACTATGACTTTGACAGGAAAAGAGTGGCATAAATAAAAAGAATAGATCCCAAGTGAAAGTGAAGAACGTTTGTGGTTTAAGATCTCATGATGAAATTGAATTTTACATGGTAATGAATTTATAGTTTTTGTATGAAGTGAATTTATAGTTTTTACTTCTAGTGTAGTTATATTTTTCAACCTTACATCACATTTTCAGTTTTATTAACATGTTTTAAGTTGAATGATGACATTGAAATTGTAGATAGATCCAGAAACTATGATTGAGAAGTCTGCTGACGAAGTGGAGAGATGGTGTGCTCAGCATATGAAGAAGAATGAGAAAGGAGAGATGGTGTGGTGTGATGAGACATCAAAATCAATTTATGTAAGTAACCTTTCTTTATTGTTTTGTTCAATAAGTTATTTTACATTCATTTCATTTTGAAAATCTAAATGTGGAATTAAATTATTTGTTTTTACAGGAAAAAAATAAAAGAGATTATTAAACTTGGAACTTTCTTGTCTAACAAAGAGATAATACTACAAGCGAAGGGGAAGGGCAAGTCCTCATCGCGACGTGTAAAGAGGCCAACAACCATTTTAGTCGGGGAAGAAGCTAGAGCTACAATAAGAAAAGAGATCTACTCAAAGTTAAAACAACAAATTGAGGCGCAACTAGAAGAAGCAAATAAGAAATAAGAACAAAAGCTAGCTGACCTCCAAGAGCAACATGATGAAGACATGAGACAACTATTGCGTCCGAAATGAAGTTTATGAACTTAATGATCGATAAACAACAACCTCATTAGTGCTATGTTTTGACTGTTTGGAATACTATTTACAGTTTTTAGTAGCCAAATAGGAGTTTCACGATATTTTTTTCTATTATGCAGTGAATTTGCTATTATTATTTTAATGACCATTTTCTCTATTATGTATTTGAAATTGTGATGAGATATGTTCTCACCATTCATATTAGAAGTGACAAATAATATTCTCACTGGAAAAAGTTTGGTAGAGACATGTAGCCAAAAAATTTGTCACCAAAACAAACATATGAGATAATTTCATTGTCACGAAATAAAATATTTGTGACAACTCAATTCATCACCGATGTTATATTAAATGATGATCATATAGGTCATCAAAGCTAGTTTTGTGACTAAATACACTTTACCAACTATTGTGATTGGTAATACATCTTCCTAATTATATTGCTTTCGTGACAAAAATTTTGTCACAAAATGATTCTCTTGCAACAATCATATGGTCACAGAAATAAATTATCAATGACGATCCAAAATCATCACACATAGGACTGCATATGTGACAATATAATTCGTCAAAAATTGTACTTTCAGTGACAACCAAACCCCACCCTAGAACATACAATTTTTTTTTCAAAAAGTGTATTTGTGACAGAATTATGGTCACATATGAAAATTATTAGTGACAATTGAAAGCGTCAGCTTTGTACTTTTCGTGTCAAAACTAGTGCAGTAGAGGTGGGGAATGTGTGACAACTAAACCTATCACGAATTAAACATATGCATGTTGGTTATACTTTTCAAAAAGTGTTGTAAACGTTTTTGAAGGTGTTGCTTAAAATAGTGTTGCATATGAGTAATACATATGCAGTACTTCTTATTTTGTTACAAAAAGTGAGAAAGTGTTGCAAATTACTTTAGGTAACACCACCTTTAGGTGTGACACGCTACGACACAACACCAAACTACGGCCAAGCGTAATCGCAGTCCGGGAATGCAGTAAAGTGGCAAGTTCTAAATATCAACCCAGGGTCTAGATCTACTACCTACTCCGTGATTATCTATTATCTAGCAAACTAAGTCGATTGATTTTGGTCTTAACTGAAAGCAGAAAGAAAGCAGGAATTGATTCGGTTTTCTGAAGCAAAGGAAGAGTCACTCGGGAATGAGTCCCCCTAGCTGCTTAGTTAGGTCTCAGTTGTAATTACCCTGGGTTGATTTACTGTTGATTAAACTGCGGAAGATCCGACAGTAGCTTGGAATCTCTTAAGCTGACCAAACCCTCTCAGTGTAACTACCCGGCAGACGACTAGTCTTCACCGGGATAGAAAGCTGAACCAATAAGCACAGAACTCCACTACTGGAATTGGATTCCAGTACAAAGCAGTAAACGGACTAACTCTCGTATAGCCAATCTACTACTACCGAATGAAGAAGCTCTCACAACCTAATCAGATTCTATCTATCTCAGGTTGCAGCAGAAATCAAGAAAAGCTAATCAGACTTCAATCAATTTAATGAATCATGCATCATTCGATGAAAACCAAACAGTATAATCATCCCAAGTCATTACAATCAAATCCTTAACACATGGAACTAGGGTTCTTCATACCCAAGTGAGAGAAGGGTCTATTCCATAGAGAGAGAGAAAAACAGAATACAAAGCAGTCATACTCATAACAATAGGAAGAATCTGCTCTGGGATGATGATTTTCACTCCTATGATGATCTCCAAGCTCGATTTGACCCAGCTCCAAGATCGCTTCTAGGATGTGTTCTTCGCACTTTCTCTCTCTAGGGCTCTGTTTTTGCTTTCAAAAGTCGATCCCCCCTGCTTTTGCTCGAATCTGCCTCAAAAACCCGACTTTGGGCAAAACACGGTCGAGGGCACGGCCGTGCTTTGCTGCTGCCCGCCCGTGCCCTTTGCCACGTGTTAAAAACACGGCCACACCTTAGGGGAAAACACGGTCGTGCCTAATGTTGGACACGGCCGTGTTTTCAGTCAGTTCCGCCCGTGTTTTGGGCCAGTGTTGGACAATCTTGGATCAAGCCTCGACAGTAAAAACACGGTCCAAGAACACGGCCGTGTTTTGATTTAGGTGCGCCCGTGCTTTGGCTCCAGCTCGTCCGAATGACTTCCGAATGCCCCGAAACTCGTGCTTAGTCTTTCCTTCGACGTCTGGGACCTGAAATATGACAAAGTAGCACAACCCGGCGTAAAATAGGCCAAAAATACACAACTATGCCCCACAAATGGATAAGAACTAGGGGTGCAAACATGTGAAATTACATCGTTATCAAATTCCCCCACACTTAACCGTTTGCTTGTCCCCAAGCAAACCAAGTCAGACACCAGGTAAGCTCAAAACGTTTCAATCAAGCAGGCTTTAGGGCATACCATATCGGCACAAAACACGTGGATCATAGATCATTAACACATGGACAACCTCAACGACAACCTAGACAACCACCACAGATGACATTCGAATGCAGTAAAGTCGAGCAAATGAAGAGTCTCCCTTTTGTTCACCAATCAACATAGACTTGACCCAACCACTTATTCAAAACAGTCAATTCACGCATAAAGCTCAAGATATCAGAATTAAGACCGAGCAATCTAGGTCCTCACCGGGATAAAGAGTATAGAGAATATGAAAAAATGAATCGCTCACTCTCGACCAGTGGGGTCAGGACAATTCGATGCGAAAAATGCGCATGCTTATTCTCTCAATCTCTAACGTCTCTTCACCATGAAGGCAGCCTCTAAATGCTAGTTCACATATGAGGTGTCACCACTAACTAATCCGGAGGTCTTAGACACAAGTTCAGATGACTGGCTAGGGTCTTGGACATGGGGAAAAGGCCTTTTAGGTGGTGGAAGTATTCATAGCACAAGGTTCCACAATTCCAAACCCAACACACTCACAGTCAATCAAACCACTCTTTCTTTCTGCCATTCTGCATTACTTACTTTCTTTAAAGCACAAGAGCGAAGGAGGTAACAAAAAACGTAGTATTCCCAAGCCACACTGCTAAGAAACACTACTCCATGGGCGCTATTCAGATTTTGTGGTGGTGGCTCTCTTTTGCTTTCATTCACTTTTTTTTCTTTTTTTTTTTTTCTTCATTTCTTGAGAGAACCACCACCTATGCACATTTTTGCAAACATATGCCCTTTTTATTTTCAAGAACTACCTCCAACTCTCACATTACATTTAGCAAAAACAGCAGAAAACATGGAGAAACCACTCTGTGGAACCTTCTAAAAGATGCAAAGGGGTGATTTTCCATTTAGACCGAAAGAAAGGATAACACACGGCTCAAAGGGCTGACTAGGGGGTATGACACATCAGGATATTCAATTTGGTCGTGGGCTAATCCTACGCCTCCATCATCTTAGCTAATGACAACGTGAATGCTGCACATCATGGAAGAGGGAACTATCGCACAAGAAAGAAACGAGCAGCTCAAGTCTCACATGGCTACCTATATGCTCTATCTCTCATTCGGATTCCTTGAACTAGATGCATAAATGACTGTCAAAAGCAAGTGATCAATCCAAGTCACAGTTGGTAAGCAAACAGTTGAAAAACTGAACCCTTACACAGTTCTACTGCACATCTCAGTCATCATAATAAGTTGTCTTAGTCACACTCAAGTTGTCATGCATTAAGTCAAAAGCCATTCAATTCACTAATCACATCCACAATGCCAATAAGATCAAACATCAAGCAAACAGCAATGCTTGGAGGCCTCAAATCTCGAGATTTGGACAGCGGACTAGGCTCCAAGCACAAATATATACGTTCCAATTAATATAAAGAACCCCCACACGTAAACGAGACAGTGTCCTCAATCGAGCAGAGGGAAGGGGAACGTTGTTACCGTGAAATGAGATCAGGAACGGGGACTGGGAGGCAGACCAGTCAATAGCAGGGGACTGGAAGGGGTACCAGTCCAAGGCACAGAGCTAAAGTCAACAAAAGACACACACTGGGTGAAAGAACCGGAGTTCCAAGTCTACAATCCAAAATAAAAAAAAACGAAACAACAAAAACATGGAGTGTCAGTCTGGAAAACAAATGAGGTGCAGAACCAGCCACTCGCCACTAGAATGCATCACCACCATCGCCGGTGGGTGGAGGGTACTCGTCCTCATACACCGGGGACTGCACGAAGGGGTAGTGGACTGCGTTCGGGTCCAAGCCCAAGTATGACATGATGTAGTGCTGGCCGGACATAAGACGACGCCCGCGGTCCCGCTCACGATCCAAGCGGGTGTGAATGCTCTCCTGGCCGGCCAGAATGCGCTCGTTCTACTGAGCGATGGCCGCCAACTGGTCAGAAATGGGCACCACGGGAGTAGGAGACCCGGGAGCCGGAGACCCGGGAGCAGCGGAGGGGCTCGTAGGAGTCTGGCCACGATGAACAGCACGGCAGGGAACCCGGCGTCCCCCAGTTGCGCTCGACTCTGGCTGGTCACCCTCTGCAGGTTCAGGTGGACGAGGGAGGCTCACAATCCAGTGCACACGCCCTTGGCAATCAACCATATGCTGGTGGCGGAGGACGACCTCGCCGAACGGGGTCGGTCCTCGGACCATGGTCATCCCAGTGATGTCGACCCTGTAGTAGCGGGCCAAGGCGGTGATCACCGGGCCACAGACAAGGCTGAGATCCTGGTTGGCGGATGCTTTGGCGAACGTCCAGGTGAGCATAGAGCCCAGCTTGATGGTGTCCTCAGAGCGACCCATCGCATGCATGAAGAACAGTGTCCGGAGTGTGACCCGGTTGGACGAGCCTCGGCTGGGGGTGTAGGACTGGGTGAGCAAATGGTTGAGGATGCGCCACTCCGGACGGAGGAGAGTGGCCCGCGTCTGGCTGGCAATGTACTGCTCATCCACATGGTTCGGCAGGCAAATTCGCTGGAAGTAAGCCTGGGAAGCAAAGTCGGTGGGATCAGTGATGTCCACGTACGGGGGTCGGTCGCTGGGGTGCGAGTTGAGCCGAAGTGCAGAGGCCAACTCCCAGTAACTGACAGAGTGCTCCACCCCGCCGAGCGTGAAATGAACCGCATCAGAATGGTCGGCGGACCCCTTCGGGGAGTGACGGAAGGATGCGTAGAACTCCCAGACGAGCTCCTGGTAGGTCGGCTCGGCGAGGCAGAGAAGGCGCCGCCAACCATAGGGGCGAACAGCGGCCTCCATTTGCGGCCTGGCATGAAGCACCTCGAACACCTCAAAATTGAGATGCAGGTGCTCGGAGATAGTGCGGTTATGGATGGTCCGCAGCAGATGATGTTGGGTGATGCTCAACTGGTCGAGGTAGTCTTCCATGATCCTGCAAAGCACAAGGATGTACAAATGGCACACAAGCGAACAGGGTCAATGTTAGGCAAAAACCACACTAGGAGCCCTCATATCAAAAGATATGAACAGTGGACTAGGCTCCCGGTGAAACAAGCATACCAATCACACGAGAATCACACAACCAAACACACCGGGGACCCTCAAATCGAGCGATTTGGACAGTGGACTAGGCCCCCGGTGGAACAAACACCTAATCCATACCAAATATTCACCAATCGATCCACCACACAAAAACCACACAAGCATGCATACAATGCCAACATGCAAATGGTAGGCCGAAGAACTGAAATCCCGAGACAAAAATATAACAAGCAAAGAGCGTCATCGGCCTACCAAATCATTCCCAAATCCATGCCACAATCACAAATTCTTCACCTTAATCTAGGTATCGATTCTCCAAAAATAAAAGAAAAGGCAATGAAAACACACCTGGAGATGCAAGTAGATACCGCAAGAGAGGTGAAGAAAGTGGAAGAAAACACCCCAAGTCGCCGGAAAACACCGGAGACTCGCCGGAGAACTCGCCGCCGGAGACCCAACCTCGGCCAAACAAGCCCAAACCTTTGGGGATTGTGCTCCTCGACGCCAGGAGCGTGGGGGAGGTCGCGGTTTGTGATTTGGAGGTCGGGAGAGGGAGTTATGGCCGAAAAATCGAAGGAGAAGAGGAAAAACCCGAAATTCCGGTGAGGGGGGCGGTGGGAATTTGAAAAAAATGGTTCTGGGGGGAGAGGGGCCGAAAATCGAATTTTATTAGCGGGGGGGGGGGGGGGGGGGGGGGGGGGGTGGGGGTTAAAACACGGGCAGGATGGAACACGGCCGTGTTCGGCGTGCTCCGTGCCCGTGTTTTTACAGTCGCGGGCGTGCTCCCCCCCCCCCCCCCCCCCCCTTTGAAAACACGGGCGAGCTGGGACCAAAACAAGACCGTGTTTTGGAACCCCAGCGCCCATGTTTTTACTGCCGCGAGCACTTCTGGCCAGAAAGCAAAACACGGGCGGGCAGGAGGGAAAACACTGCCGTGTTTTCATCCTCTGGCGCCCGTGTTTTCACTGCCGAGCCCATTCTGCAATTTTTCAAAAATCCCTATTTCAAACCACCAAAACTCATTCGTGCCCCGGCTCTAAAAATTACCCAATCACATATTAAAACGAACCGCCCGTGGCATGAAATACTTTCCAGACAGACTCCAGACAGACTAAAAGACTCAAAAACCGACAAAAATGAAAAGAAAAAAGGGTAGAAATGCAAACCGTGGTGGGGTTGCCTCCCCACAAGCGCTTCTTTACCGTCTTTTAGCTGTATGCCAGTAGGTGGATGCTCAGAGAGGTGTAGGAGCAGGTGCCTTCAAGAGCGGATCCACGTCGCTCTTGATGTACAGCTTCAGATGGTGGCCGTGCACACGGCGGGTGTGACCACCAGCACTCGCCAACTCGACTTGGCCATCTGGCAAGATGCAAGCGAGTGAATACTCGGATGGCCAGGGTGGTCGAGACTCAGGAAGCGGGACCTGCTCATAGTGGTCTCCGGCTTCCTTGTGAGCAGGCTTAGTTACCTGCAGTTTCGGTCGCCACTCCTCCCTGATCTTTTTCTTTGGTAACGGCGTGGATGGGAGTGGCGGTGAAGGTATGGGAGGGGAGGGGAATCCTGCAAAATAGGAAGCACAGACGGATACACCACAGACTCGTGCTCCTGGTGAGAAACAGCATGCAATGGTGATGAAGCAGGAAGAGTATTAACAATGGAAAACGTTATTTGCTCCTCGCCATTCCTAAAGACTAAGGTCCCGTCATGCACATCTATATGGGCCTTGGAGGTGGCCAGGAAAGGCCTTCCCAGTATAAGTGGCACTTCTGTGTCCTCATTGATGTCCAAAACAACAAAATCCACAGGATAAAAGAATCTGCCAACCTTAACCAGAAGGTCTTCCACTATGCCCCTAGGGTGAATTATAGATCAGTCAGCTAGTTGAATACTCATCCTAGTTGCACTGGATTCACCTAGGCCTAGTTTCTTGAACAATTTATATGATATCACATTGATACTAGCACCTAGATCTGCCAAGGACCTCTCTACATGCAATTTACCTATAGAGCACGGGATAGTGAAACTACCTAGGTCCTTCTGCTTCTGCGGAAGCTTGTTCTGCAGAATGGCCGAGCACTCCTCACTGAGCTCCACAGTGGCCAGCTTGCTCAGCCTCCGCTTCTTCGAGAGAAGCTCCTTCAGGAACTTCGCATACTTAGGCATCTGAGCTAGTGCCTCCATGAAGGGTATTTGAACATGCAGCTTCCTAAGCATGGACGAGAAGTTGCCAAATTCGGCCTCTAGCCTGTCTTTGTGAATCCTGGTGGGAAAAGGGAGCTTAGGCTTATATTCAGCCACTAAAGGTTGTGGCTTTGGAGCTTGATCCTCTGGCTCCTTTTCCATCACCAGGTCTTCTTCCGGCTTAGGGGTGATCTGGGTCACCTTCTTGGCACTCTTCTGCGGTGCTTCCGCAGTCACAGTCCCACTTCGAGGCATTATGGCGTGCAACCCCTCCTTGTGATTTCTAGGATTCGGTAGGGGTTGGCCAGGAAGTGTGCCAGCCGGTCGGGAAGCAAGGGCATCTGCCAGGTGCCCGATCTTGGTGTCCATATCCTGCTGGAGTGCATGCTGGTTTCTCTGGCCAGCTTCAATCTCCATGAATTTACCTGCAGCCACCTCCATGAATTGCTCCAATTTGTTGAACTTTTGGGTACTAGTGCTCGCCAGGGTAGTCACTAGATCCCTCAGTTCTGACACGGGATCGCTCGGTGCTGGAACTGATGGAGGTGCACCAGGTTGCTGGTACTGCTGCTGTGGGGGCTGTTGAAAAGCCTGCCCCTGTCTGGGCTGATAGAGTGGCTGTTGTTGCTGCATCTAGTCCGGCTGAGGCTGGTATGGCTGCCTCTGGTTTGGGAAGCTAGTTGCAGGGGCTTGGAAGCCAGGTGGCTTCGGATTGCTGTTGCCACTCTAGGAGAAGTTTGGATGCTGGCGCCATCCCTCATTGTAGGTGTTCCTGTAGGGGTCGTTGCGCCGCACATTGTTGATGAAGTTCACCTGCTCCTGGGGTGTACTAGACTCACGCATGGCCTGGCTGTCCTCCACAGTATGTGCACCAAATCAGAGGAGTGGGTTCCCACAGCATGTACACCTCGGCTTGGTGCTCTCCTCGACCTCCTAGCAGTGCTCCAATCATACCCGTTCTCTGCCATCTCCTCAAAGAGTTGATTCAGTTGTGGCGGTGTTTTGGTCAGCATGTTCCCTCCACAAACCGAGCCAATCAGCTGTTTGTCTTCTGGGAAGAGGGCGTGATAGAAGGTGCCCACCTTGAAAGCATCATTGAAACCATGATTTGGACACCTCAGGAAAAGACTGTTGTATCTCTCCCATGCGTCCCGGATGCACTACGGGTCATGCACTACCTGCACACAATCAGCAGAAGCAACCCGTGAAGGCACACAGGTGGAAGAGATAAAATGCAATAAAGAAAAATCTAGAGTAACAAACTTTCACGTTTCTCCAATAACCTAGAGGTTCCCCGACAACGGCGCCAAAAACTTGACACGCTACGACACAACTCCAAACTGCGACCAAGCGTAATCGCAGTGCGGGAATGCAGTAAAGTGGAAAGTTCTAAATATCAACCCGGGGTCTAGATCTACTGCCTAATTCGTGATTATCTATTATCTAGCAAACTAAGTCGATTGGTTTTGGTCTTAACTGAAAGCAGAAAGAAAGCAGGAATTGATTCGGTTTTCTGAAGCAAAGGAAGAGTCACTCGGGAATGAGTCCCCCTCGCTCCTTAGTTAGTTCTCAGTTGTAATTACCCTGGGTTGATTTACTGTTGATTAAACTGTGGAAGATTCGACAGTAGCTTGGAATCTCTTAAGCTGACCAAAACCTCTCAGTCTAACTACCCGGCAGACGACTAGTCTTCACCGGGATAGAAAGCTGAAGCAATAAGCACAGAACTCCACTACTGGAATTGGATTCCAGTACAAAGCAGTAAACGGACTAACTCTCATATAGCCAATCTACTACTACCGAATGAAGAAGCTCTCACAACCTAATCAGATTCTATTTATCTCAGGTTGCAACAAAAATCAAGAAAAGCTTATTAGACTTCAATCAATTCAATGAATCATGCATCATTCGATTAAAACCAAGCAGTATAATCATCCCAAGTCATTGCAATCAAATCCCTAACACATGGAACTAGGGTTCTTCATACCCAAGTGAGAGAAGGGTCTACTCCATAGAGAGAGAGAGAGAGAGAGAAAAACAGAATACAAAGCAGTCATACTCATAACAATGGGAAGAATCTGCTCTGGGATGATGATTTTCACTCCTATGATGATCTCCAAGCTCGATTTGATGAAACCCAGAGCCAAGATTGCTTCTAGGATGTGTTCTTCGCACTTTCTCTATCTAGGGCTCTGTTTTTGCTTTCAAAAGTCGATCCCCGTGTTTTTGCTCAAATTTGCCTTAAAAACCCGACTTTGGGCAAAACACGGTAGAGGGCACGGCCGTGTCCGTGCCCTTTGCCACGTGTTAAAAACACGGCCACACCTTTGGGGAAAACACGGTCGTGCCTAATGTTGGACACGACCGTGTTTTGAGTCAGTTCCGCCCGTGTTTTGGGCCAGTGTTGGACAATCTTGGATCAAGTCTCGGCAGTAAAAACACGGTCTAAGAACACTGTCGTGTTTTGATTTAGGCGCGCCCGTGCTTTGGCTCCATCTCGTCCGAATGACTTTCGAATGCCCCGAAACTCGTGCTTAGCCTTTACTTGACGTTTGGGACCTGAAATATGACAAAGTAGCACAACCCGGCATAAAATAGGCCAAAAATACATGACTATGCCCCACAAACGGATAAGAACTAGGGGTGCAAACATGTGCAACTACATCGTTATCAAGGTGATACTACTAAAAGTGTTGCATATTGCATAGACAACACTTTCGACACTTTTTACAACACTTTTCATGTGTTGGCAAATGCCACTTTTCTTCTTTCGCTCACTTCTCTATTCCGATTTATTTGAGTCTCAAACGATTGTGTTTCTCCCATTTCCAGTTGATTTCGCGTTCTTGAGGAAAACCTAGATATGATAATGGTTACTTTCTCAGCGGTTTAGGCAACTTCTGGACCTCCGCCAGTCAGTTCATCGGCTCCCTCAAGCTCATCGACGCTTCCTCTTCTTGTCGCATCCTTATTTCATCTCGAATGGCGATCTCCCGTCTCTTCAACTCGTGACTGCACCACTCTCTGTCGCAAATTACCATTCGTGGGTGCGTTCTCTGCGGAGGGGATTGCAAGCTCGCAACAAACTCTCGCTGATTGATGTTTTTGCTTCGATTCCGTCTCGTGATGATCCTCTCTGGATGACATGGGATCGGGCGAATGTCTTGTTTCTTGGTTGGCTTCAACGTTCTATCTCGCCTGAGATAGCATAGAGTGTTCTTTGGTTTGATACGCCAGTCAAGGCTTTGGAAGACCTTTGAGAAAGGTTCAACGAAGGGAATGAAGTTCGTATCTCAGATCTCTGTGACGAGATTTCTTCTCTCAAGCAAGGTACCTTGACTATAAGTGCTTATTTCACGAAGTTCAGAATTCTTTGGGAAGAACTTCTAATCTTGCGGTCATTTCCATCTTGCACTTGCAATCCTCGTTGTTCTTGCCTTCCTGCGTCTGTGGCTCGTGAGTATATGTGTCATGATCAAGTGATTCGTTTCCTCGAAGGCTTAAACGAGAGCTACTGCAATGTTCGATCTCGGTTCTTGCTTATGGAGCCTCTGCCAAGTATCAACAAGGTTTTTTCAAGTCTGGTACAGTAGGAGAGACAGTCTGGTAGTCTCCACGTTCCTCCTGTTGCTCTGGCTACTCATGGCCATGCAACTCTTGCTTCCAGTCGCAGTAACATACCTCCCAGTCATGGTGGATCCTCACAAAACCAAGCGAATGCTTCTTAGAGCCATGGTGGAGGAAGAAAACGTCCACTTTGTACTCATTATGGTCTTTACGGCCACACTGGATTGTTGTTACAAACTCCATGGTTATCCACCTGGATACAAGGCACGTAAAATAGCTCATGCTGTCACTTCTGAGTTGAATTCTCCACCAACCACAAAAGATGCTATTAGTGAAGAGTCTGTGACCTTATCACGGGCACAATACTAGTCTCTTCTCAACCAGACTCAACCTAGGCATCTACAGTCCACCAGTACTGCCATGGCTAATCTTGTCACTACCACTACTCAAGTTGCTCCCTTGTTTTCCAAAGATGCATCTACATCTCAGGCTACTACTTCTCCTTATGTTCCCACAACTGTGGCAACAGATCTTATCAACTCTAATGATTCAGGTACTATTCTATCATCTCTCCAAACACCTTTAAATTCGTTGGTGTGGATAGTTGATAGTGGAGCTACGGATCATGTAGTTTCTGTGTTAGACTTGTTTCACTCTTATCAAATCATTGATAATATGAATGTCTCTCTTCCAAATGGTTTTCGAGTTAAGGTCTCCCACATAGGAACTCTTTAGTTAACTTCAACTTTGACATTGTTTGATGTCTTATTTATCCCAGCATTCAAATTTAATCTAATTACAGTCTCGAAATTAGTTAAAACTTCCAATTGTTCCTTAAAGTTTTACACAGACTCTTGCTTAATACATGATCTTTCGTCCCTAGAAACAATTGGTACAACTAAGCAAGTCTCTAGCCTCTATCATCTCCAAATTCCTCCCACTTTCAATTCTCACAGCCACTGTAATGTTTGTTTCAATACAACTTTGGTTCCTTTTGACTTATGGCATTATAAGCTTGGCCATACTGCCTTACCTCGGTCATCTGTTTTTGACTCTTCTGTCAAATATCAATCTACTAATAAAAATAAACTGCATTGTTCTATATGTCTTTTGGCAAAACAAAAGAGTCTACCTTTTCCTAAACTGATTCCCATTCCCAATCCGTGTTTGAACGCTTACACATAGACATTTGGGGACCTTATCAGTCTCCCACACTTGATGGTCATAAATATTTTTTGACTTGTGTTGATGACTGTCCTCGTCACACGTGGGTTTATCTCAAGAAAAACAAGAGTGAAGCTAGGCAGATTTTACTAGATTTGACTACCTATGTAAAAACTCAATTCTCTGCTAAAATAAGAATCATACGAACTGATAATGGTCAGGAATTCAATATTCCTTATTTTTATTCATCTCATGGCATAAGTCACCAACAAACATGTGTAGCTTCCTCTCAACAGAATGGTCGTGTTGAGAGGAACCATCAACACATCATAGTTGTGGCTAGAACCTTGCTATTTCAAGCTTCTCTTCCAATAGTTTTTTGGGGTTTTGTTGTGTTGCATTTAGTCTACTTAATCAATCGTTTCCCTTCTCCTCTTTTACAAAACAAATCTCCTTATGAGATTTTATTCAAAAACAAACCAGTCTATAAAACTCTTATTTGGTTGTTTGGTTTATGCTACCACCCTCCAACACAACCGACCTAAGTTTGCACCACGAGCTGATCCGTCAGTTTTCTTAGGGTTTCATCATTCTATTAAAGGCCATACATTGTATATTCTTATCTCCCATGACATTTTCTTCTCTAGGGATACTGTTTTTTTATGAAAACGTATTTCCTTTACACGGTTCTTTTCAACAACCTGGTTTTGAATTCTGTTTTCCTAATATTCTAGTTCCTAATACATTAACTCATACTATTCACCCTTCCACATTTGCTGAAAATACTTCCTCATCACCTTCACTTCCTCCAGAACAACCCTTAGATCTTATTAATCGTATATAGACCAATGAACCTCCAGCTTATGCTCGTCCTATTAGGACTAAGTTTAAACCAAAACGACTTAATGACTTTGTCCGTGTAGCAGAATCTGCTTCTGTAGCATTCCCTTTAGCAGATGTTATTACTTATGACAATCTTAGTTCTGAGTACAAAAACCTTATCCTTGCTGCTTCTATGTTAATTGAGCCTAGAACCTACAAAGAAGCAATAAAAGATCCTAAATGGGTTGATGCTTGTAATTCTGAATTAGCATCTCTTGATAAAACTAAAGCTTGAACAATTGTGGAACTTCCTCTTAACAAAATTCCTATTGGAAATATGTGGGTATTTAAAATCAAATACCTTGTTGATGGATCTCTTGAGAGATTTAAGTCTCGTTTGGTAGAAAATGGGTATACTCAAACCCCTGGTCTAGACTATATAGAAACTTTTGCCCCTGTTATTAAGCATACAACAGTTTGGATTGTTCTTTCCTTAGCTGTATGAATAACTGGTATTTACATCAGCTTGATGTCAATACAGCTTTCTTACATGGTGACCTTGATGAAGAGGTATACATGAAGATACCTCCTAGTCTAATTGTGCCACCTGGTTTTAAAAATTGTGTTTGTCGTCTAAATAAGTCTTTATATGGTTTAAAGCAAGCTAGCCGTTAATGGAGCATCAAACTTTCTAACTTTCTTACATCTACAGGTTATAAACAATCCAAAGCAGATTATTCTATGTTTGTTAGAAAGCTTGATTCTTCCTTTACTGTAGCTTTAGTATACATTGATGACATTATCCTTGCGGGTAATGATCTTTCTGCTATTCAGAACCCGAAAACTCAACTTCTTCAAGCTTTTACCATTAAAGACTTAGGTGAACTTAAGTTTCCCTTGGCTTAGAGATAGCTCGGTCCTCCAAAGGAATTCTTCTTAATCAAAGGAAGTTTGCCTTGGATCTTTTAACTGATTATGGTTATCTAGCAGCAGAACCTTGTGATTCTCCTGCTGTCCCGGGTTCCAAGCTTTCTGCTAACTCAGGAACATTATTAACTGACCCTTCTATTTATAAAAGATTGGTAGGCAGGTGACTCTACCTTTACAACACTCGGCCAGACCTTGCTTACGCTGTTCACCAGCTAAGCCAGTTCACCCACACACCCACTGATCACCATATCCAGGCAGCTGAAAGGGTTCTTCGCTATATCAAAGGTACAGTCGGTCAAGGTTTGCTCTGCTCCTCTACTTCTGACCTTAAATTATATTCCTTTTGTGATAGCGACTGGGCTGGTTATCCAGACACCAGGCGTTCCACAACAGGCTTTTATGTTCTCATCATTAGTAACTCCTTGATCAGTTGGTGATCAAAGAAACAGAAAACTGTTTCTAGATCATCTGCTGAGGCAGAATATAGGGCCATGGCTAGCTTAACATGTGAATTATTATGGATTCGTTACATTCTTCATGATCTGAATGTTACTCTTAATGTCCCTACCACTATTTTTTGTGATAGTCTCTCTGCAATTAGGTTAGCTGACAATCCGGTAAATCACGAACGCACCAAACACATAGAAATAGATTTCCATGTTATTACGGATCAAATTTTACTTGGTACGATTAAGGTTATACATGTTTCATCTGCCCATCAACTCGCTGATAATTTCACAAAAGCTCTTCCAATGCATGTGTTTAAGCATCTACAGGTCAAGCTGGGTCGTTTGGATGTATAAGCACCAGCTTGCCGGATTGGGGGGGGGGGAGTTGTCCAAGATATAAGAAGCGAGGACTTTATTGTAATCTTTATGAACTTTATAGTGCAATCTCTAAATGATGCAAAGTAATAGTAGTAAATAGGATATTAACTTTGATTATACAGATATGTAAATGTAACTTTTACGCGTGAAATGAAATCTGCTTATCAGGCTTCTCCGGTGATCAACAACTTTCATAATCTTGAAAGCACCACACAGCAACTCTACAAATTCTTCCCACCTCTTCAATATCAGCATTCTCTTCCAATCTTGGATCCAACAGATGTATCACATTCCCACCTTCATTCAAAACAGCTGCTACCCAACTTGGGAAGTAACGACCTACGCATGTATGTCGCTGTGAGTTTCTCCTTCCTGATACTAGCACAAAGAGCATAATCCCATAACTGTATACATCAGCTTTCACAGTTATGGCCTCCCTTGAAATCCATTCCGACGCTAGGTACCCTATTGTTCCCCGTAGAAGAACACGGAATCCAAAAGCACATTGTCTGGCTTGATGTCACAGTGAAATATGCATTCTTTGAACTTCTCGTATGGATATGCCAAGCCTTTGTGCTCCTAATGCAATGTTATATCGCGTTTTCCAGCTAGGGTCTTTGAGCCAACTTCTTTGAACAAGTGAGATGCTAATGAACCGTTTGGCATATAGTCATATACTAACAGCATCCTAGATTTATCATATGAGGATCCTTTGTGACCAACCAGATTGACATGTTGGATTGCACCAAGGGTCCTAACTTCCGCAAGGAATTGCTTGTGCTTGTCAGCGTGGCTGAAGTTGATGACCTCCACCTTCTTAACTACTACAACACTTGAATCAGGCAGTTTACCTTTATAAACAGAACCAAAACCTTCTTCTCCCAACTTCTCCATGAAATTTCATGTAGAAATCTTCAACTCTTTGTGGGTAAAAGCCGCTATAGACCCTTCCATTACCTGTCCAAGTTTAGCCTTTCGGTTCGTTCTCCATCTTAAGATTATCATATCCCAATGTAGTTTTTTTTAGATGTTGATGCGGGAGAGAAGAAGTCAAGGACGAAGTTCTGATCGGAGGAGACGATGGTCTGGTTGCCGGAGATAGACGGGTTGAGATTGAGAATTTGGGTAAGAAGAAGAATAGAATTAAGAATCGGCCGAGGCCTTTGAGAGACAGAGATTGAGAAATTAGAGGTCAGGGAGAGAATAGGGTTTAAGATATACTTTCTAAATGATTTTTCTTGCTTGATTAGAACTCAATACCCAAGTAATTTATAGGGAAAGATAAGAAAATCTAATAATAAACCTAATTCTACTAAAAACTACTAAACATATTAATAATATCCCTAATGTCGCAACCACCCCTTGTAATCGAGGACCCGTCATGATATGCTCGGAGTCGCCATCGACCGTAGTTGTAGTGCGTAGAACACTATTTGGTACGGTCTCGACCTTAGGGTCAAAACCTGAATTTGGCCTGCGAAATTTTAGAGATTTGGGTTCGGGAGTACGGTTACGTGTGGGGAAGTATATTCACACCCCACAACGCCCCAAGATGGGTACTACTGAAATCGATAATCATTTAAGGGTTGGCTGTGTAATTAATTGTGATTTGTTTGTGTATTTAAGCGTAATATTCGATTATTTTTAATTATTTTGAATGTAAATTTTCAGAGTCAAATTGGACGATATTATTAGTGTAAATTTTGGATTTAAAGTTACAGATTTTCACGTCTATTGACATAAAAAAATGGTTTTAAGATTGGTTGGGCTCGAACCTATTGGTTGCCTACGTACCCGAGTTAATCGGGATCAAAGTCCACATAGTTCGATCAAGTTGATTGGTTTTGAAAAGGGGATCGTAACACGTTTCTATTGATACGTGATTAAGATAATAATTGTTTTTCTTATTTAAGAGATGTGATTTGGTATTTATGATTTAAAGGAAGAAAATTTATTAGTTGGACTCGAACCTATTGGTTGCCTACGTACCCGAGTAGTCGGGATCAAAGTCCACGTAGTTCGTTTTAAAAAATGTGTGATTTCAAGTGTTAACGCTTACACGTCAAATTGTTGATAAAATGTGTTAGTCGGACTCGAACCAATTGGTTGCCTACGTACCCGAGTAGTCGGGATCAAAGTCTACATAGTTTGGGTCAAGTTGATTTAGTTATAACCACATTACGCTGATCGTGGTTATGAAATAAATGATTTTATTTAGTTTTGAAACATGAAGAAAATTTTACGTTTCTGAAAGTAATGGAATTAATCTAACCAAGAGATTATCTCGCGTTTAAAATTTTGTATTAAGAGTGTTTAAAATAGAGTAAAATAAGGCTAAACACACCCACTTTTGAATAGCTTGCACGTAGGCCGATTGGTCAACTTGCTGGACTAATTTCGCTAGCTAACAGGAGGTAGAATGTTCGACGCTCACTTAGTACCGAGTTAGGTATAAGTTTCTCTCTTAGAAACGCTAGACGACTCAAAACAACCGCCTCTCACTCTCTCTCTCTCTCTCTCTCTCTCTCTCTCTCTCGATTCTTCCTCTCTGCTTCCTCTCGTTCACTTCTTCGTCGAACTAGAAACCATCTGGTTTCTCGCCCCAAACCGCCCTCACCTCCTCGCTCTCCTTTTTTATTACCAGAAAGAAGCCCTATCATCTCCTCTCTAACAAAAGAAAATCGACCCCTCCTCTCTCTCCCTCTTTCGACGTACGAAAACGAAGAAGGGGAGAAACCCTTCTCCGATCCGCCTCTCTTCTTCCCCTCTCGATTTCTTTCACCTTATCTCCTCTCTGGTTCTCTTCCACTCTCCTTATACTGCCACCTATTCTACTCCCATCGTCGGCAGTAAATCTGCTAGAATCCGACTTAATCCGACCTCGACTAGGTAAAATCGATACATGCAACTCGGTTTTCGGTGTTTGATTTTGTTTTTATTGATTTTAATTGGTTTTTGTTTTTGTATTTTTGGGGTTCTGCCCTTGATCGAGGAAAGAAGGATACAACAACAACTGGGAAGGACGCCGGCGACGTCGAAGTGAGAAGGAGTCCGACGGATTGTGACTTTCTGGTTTTCCTTGTGTTTAAGATGGAAACTCAGTTTTCGTAATGAGCTTTCAACACCCTATACAAACTAGAACTTTTTGTGTTTTAATTTACTGCAGCTTAAATAAAAGATTTTGATTGTTGTGACTATGTGTTCTTGGTTGGTTTATTCATGTGCATGGGTTTGAGGTGATTGTGATGGTTTTTGGTTAAGAGCTTGTATGTGTCGAATATGTTTTTGATTGTTTATAAATTTTGATTTTAGATTAATTATGGAGCATACCATATAAAAATGGAAACAAGTAGTAGAATTAGAAACGAATATCGAAATGGACGGAATAAAGTGGTCAAGAAAAGAACATGAAAGAAAACAAATATGTTTTCTGTTTTTATTATGGAAGTGTTAGATAAAAAGATTACATTGAATGAAGTTTAATCGAGAAGATGGATGAACCATATGGTTATACTTATACAGTTATTAGTAGATTAGTAACTGTAGAAATAATATATATAACTATGAGTTGGTTGTCTTAACAGAAAGAAAGTCATCTTGAATGAAAATACTTGTATGCTATTAAGTTTATAAACTTAGAATTTAGGAGAAAAATAAGTACAATAATGATGATTGTAGTAAGTAGTTGGATTACAATGATGTTGAGTGTTTGAAAGGAAAAGAGATTCAGATATGATCCTCTTAAGGTGTTTAGATGGACTTGTAATTTGCTTGGAGGTAACCACTTATAATTTCCTCTTAAAGCTTGTTAAGAAAGGTAGAAGTGAGATGATTATGTATGGCGATGATTGAATCTAAAGATGGTTAAGTTGTTTGCTTACCAACCTTTTGCTTGATGTTTGGAATGGGTTGAAATGCTTTCCTCCAATTTCTTGTTGTTGTCTTGTAATCTTTTTAGCTCTTCTTGTCTTTGCTCTCCTTTTTGTTCTCTTTTGGCTGTGTTTTATTTTTGTTGCTTCGTGAGGAAAGGAAGGGGAGCTCTCTGTTTCAGTTTGTAAAGGAAAATAGTTTTTTATGTTGTTTTTCTTTGTACCAGCCACCGAGAAGAAAGAGTATGGACTATTGAAGCTTCTTTTATTTTGTAGAGTGTTTTCTTTGAAGAGGAGGAGCCTAAGAAGAAACCGCGGAAAGAAAGTTTGTCTTTGAGGGAGTAGAGGCGTGAGGAAGAAGAAGCAGAACTCCCTCTTTTCTCTGTTTTTTTCTACAGCTCCTGAGGAGGAAGAAGAAGAAGTAAAAGAAGAAAAGGTGTCTAAATTTTGGTTCTGAGCAGAGGCGTCTCTGCTTTATTGAGGGGAAGGAAGTGTCCCCAAGGAAGCTCCCTGTCCCTCTGTTTTTATAGTAAAATAATGTACTGTAGCGCCAGAATAGAGTAGGTTAGTGTATTTTTCTGATTGGATGGTGAATGGGCTGGGCCTGGTCTGGTTCGACCAGTCTAGCTAGACCAATGTTAGGCTTGGTCCGAATTTAGTTGGGTCAGTCTGTTGCAATTGGGTTTGGGCCTGACTTGTTGACTGGGCTTGACCAAGATACGAGCCTCATGTGGCTGACTAGGCTTGATTGGCATCTTTTAACTTGGGCAGGTTTGAGCTTAATTGTAAAATTGTAATTATTGATTGTTCTAATTATGTAGTTACTTTATTGTAATTGTCTTAAATGAAATTGTTATTTCTTTCTTTAGACTTTAATTAATTAGTAATCAAAATCCAACCTCACAATCTCATATGTCAAGCAAACGATCAACTTCTATCACAACCAACATTGAACACAAGTCTAATTCGTAGAGATTTGCTATTGCTATCTCAATGCTAATGGGAAACAAAACCCAACTCAAGCACTGCAAATACGATTTCAGTTAGTAGTGTGTTTAAAATTTGTTATTGTTAACTTTAAACAAAAACTAACATTTATTTAATTAAATATGTTTTGTCCGAACAAAAAGCAATGTCTACACCTAATAATGATGTTTCTATCACGGATTGCCATAGAACGAAGAAAGCTGTTGCGAGGATGAGAAGCGGGAGATTGATGCAGAGTGTGGCCATGGCGGGAATGGAAAGAATTCGTGGATGGAAATGAAGGACAAACGTGAGAGGCTAACTAATAGTACAATGATAGTGTAGGAGAACATGGAAGCAATGAAAGTTTCCAACTTGGGAGCATCGATTCATCGCTCTTAATGAAACCTCTACTCTATAACCTAGACTTGTCAACTTTGCAGTTTTCTTCCTTCCTTCCGGCTTGGGATAGAGTCAGTAACCACTTGGTTACTGATCTGTCAGTAATAAATGGGGACCGTAGATCTAGGGATGGAGCAATCTTGCGATGGGGCTGGACATGGAATGGGAAAGGATATTTTTGTCTGTTTCAATATTAATTATTTTTTTATTTTATCCTGCATTTAATGACTACTTTTTAAAAAAAATGAGAGAGAACTCTGCAACCCTCATTTATTTCTTTCTTCTCTCCTCCTTTTCCTCTCACAATCTCCTTTTCAAATTCTTTCTCTTTCTCTATTCCTTCTCTCTTTTTCATATCTAAATCAGCTTCATTCTCTTCTTTTTCATTTTTTTATCTAGTAATTGACGAATAAAAATTGCAGCCACTCTCTTGCATTGCATTTCTTCTCTTCATCAACTTGTTGGCCTCAATTCCGATCTTTCTCATTTTTTTGACATTTTGATGTTCTTGATTGCGGAAGAGGAAATGAGAGGCGATAAAAGACGATTTTTTTTCTCTCCATTCTTCTGTTTATTTCCTTTGAGATAATATATAGTGATATTATGACTCTATATCATATGGTATTGGGTGGTAACGAAATATATATTGATATTACCACACTATACCATATGGTAATGTATGGTATTGGTGGTAATGAAATATATATTGATATTACCACACTATACCATATGGTATTGTATGGTATTGTCTGATATTACCACACTATACCATATGGTATTGGTCTTATTTAATACCAGTCAATAAGACCAGATGGTATATACTGGTAATAACTGGAAAAAAAAATTATGTCCAAAAAATATCAAAGTGGATATCATTTTGAAGAGCACAATTAATCTGATCTAATTGTGCAAAAAAATTAAATTTCGACTTAAAACGAGTTAGAAATTGTCCGTTAAAGATTAAGGAAAGGAAAATTAAAGGTTTTTCGAGGAGAGAGAAGGAGGCGCTGATGTGGTCCGGTCAAAATCAGCGTTAACAATAAATAGGGGTAAGTGCAATTTTACTTTACTGCCCTTTTGCATTTAATTTAAATAAAAAAAGGACTGACACGTGGGAACAAGAGAATGGACTAACTGACCCATCAGTTACTGACAGCTCTGCTTCCTTTTCTCTTTTTCCAAACCGTCCCACACGCAGGGCAGGAAATAGAAAATTGATTGTGAGGTATAAATTTAAGACTGGTTTGTTGATGACTTGATGGGACTAGGCTGTGTGAGATGGGGTGGCTTCCTGAGTTTATCTGAAGATTACGGGGAATGCCCATTCCTGGTAATATTCAACTTCTACTACAAATCCTTTCTTATATCTAAGATTACTATATAGGCACTAATGGGCCTGCTGCTACAACAATGAAGGTTACTGATCCCACTGCAAATAGCAGATGCTTTTAGTGCCTGGCTTTCTATCTCCCAGTTGGCAAGCTCATCGTCAACTGATTGTTTGAACAATTGACGCGAACTTGATCGCCACTTTCGACAACAGAAACAGCTCTTCTAGTGTTGAAGGCCGGTTCTCCTGGCAATGGAAACGACTGAGAATCGCTGCTCGACAACATCTGAGCTACTGAAGACATGGTTGGCCTGTCACCTGGAACTTCTTGCACGCACAAAAGACCCACATGGATGAACTTCACGGCTTCTACATGATTAACGCAGGTATCCTTCACTGCCGGATCAATCAGCCCTTCTGGTTTCCCTTCTTTCCATAGCTCCCATGCCTTCAATCAAAACATGTATACACATAACAAAAAAAAAAAACTCTTAGCTCTATGTTCATGGTTGGTGTGATTAGAAAACTAGAAAGGCAAGTATTGTAAAGTACTCACCCAACAGACAAGTGAGAATGGGATTTCAGGATCATAGAAGTCTGTGTTCCTCCTTCCGCTCACTATCTCCAACAGCAACACCCCATAGCTGAAGACGTCTGATTTCTCAGAGAATTGGCCATAGAATGCATATTCCGGAGACATATAACCACTGTATCACAATTTAAATTGTTAGTTTTAGTCTGATCAATCAAATTTTGGCAGGTACTAGATTATAAACAAAAACAAAACGGGTAAAAGAATGAGGTAAGCACATACTACGTTCCAACTATACGGTTGGTGTTTGCTTCAGCCTGATCAATACCGAAAATCCTTGCCATTCCAAAGTCTGAAATCTTGGGATTCATTGCTGCATCAAGCAGAACATTGCTTGCCTTCAGATCTCTGTGAATGACCTTCAACCTTGAATACTTATGGATGTATAGTAGTCCTTGAGCTACACCCTCTGCAATCTTTACGCGTACTGCCCAATCCAGCTTTGCCTTTTCAGATGAACCTGATCATAGTGAAGTTTATCTCAGAACACTTGCTTTCATGCGGGCACCATCAACATCAAGCCAACAGAATGAAGGCGAGAGAGTGACTACCAAAGAGGAACTTGTCCAAGCTCCTATTGGGCATGTACTCGTAAATCAATATCTTCTCATCTCTTTCAACACAGCAGCCCAGGAGCCTAACCAGATAGGTATGCTGCAATTTGGCCAACTCATTCTGTTACGTGCAAATTATTAGCTGGAAATTAGGGGTTTTTAATTGGGTTGTTGGTAGTGGGATAGTGCTCCGTAGCTAGTTTTTAGGAGTAGTAGGTTTGAGCTTTGCCTATTTAATTCATTTTGAATGGTTGTAATTGGGAGACAAGAAGATTAATCAAAGGAACACGTTAGTGTTAATGAGGCCGGCTTTGCCTCGAAGAAGCCATTCTCAACTCTTCTTCCCTTCTCTTCGTTTCCCTCTTTCTCTTTTTCTTAACCCCTCTGTTCCATTCTTACAAAACAGAGTCCCAAATCCCTCTTGAAACCCATCGCACACAACACATTCATGAACTCCTCTAAACCTTGTCCTGATTTCTTGGAAAGCCTTTTCATTGCTACCTCTTGATCACCACTCAACTTCCCCTGTCAACAGAATAAAAGATACCCTCTCAATAAGCCAAAGGAAGCAACATAACTGAACCAAAAAGTCAGACAAAGAAAGCAAATTTGCAACCTAAAATCAAAAGGGTCAAGTAAAGAAGCAAAGCAACCTTGTAGACAGGCCCAAATCCACCTTCTCCTAACTTGTTAGCTTCTGAGAAGTTATCAGTAGCAACCAATACATCCTTGAGACTGGAAAAGCTGAGCTGTGTGTCATTATTCTGCCCATCCCCTCCCCCTATTCCATACTTGTTCTTCTCAATCTCAGCCATGTAATTCTTGGCAGCTTTCCGCTTTCTTCTGTTTCTTCTAGTAATAGAAACCAAAGCCACGACGATAACGAGAATAGCAATGCTTCCCACAGCAGCACCAAATCCAATAAGTAATTTTCTCTTCAGATTGCTTCCGGAACCAAGAGTCTCATTCTCAAGAGCAGCAAGCCTTGTGTAAACAGGCTGGCTGTAGCGATCGTTCTGCAGCTTCAGAAGATTGAAAAGCTCCCCTGACCAAATCGAACACACATTTGCCTGATAAGCATAAGCAGTACAAGAACAGCTATATGAGCAAATGGATTCACACTGCTGAGCACTACCAACTGAATAACTGGAACCCCCAACAGTCAACTGGCCGCCTTTATCAGGCAATTCATACCCTTCAACAAACCGGTCCTTTTTCTTATCACCTCCAGAAGTCTCACAACCCAGAGGAAATTTCCTCACACATCCATCAGAATAATCTCGCAGGCTCCATGCTTGTGGCGATTTCGGTACGAACCCTGTCAAACAACTACAGGGCGGCGAGGAAGCAATGTCGCAGCTCCCGAATGCGCCGCAAAAGGCGAATACTCGGCATTGGTCCCGCGGCTCCTGCCAAATTAAGGACCATTTGCTGGTAGAATCAACCCAGGAAAATCCCTGTACAATTCCCTTACTGCCCAAGAGGATGCGAGATTTGGCGCCGCCTGATGATGATGAACCGTTGAAGGTGAAATACAGCTCCCTGTCGTTCTCCGTATAGGAATTGTTGTTCATCAATTCTGCCCCCGGAATCGTGGTGGCTGAGGTTAGGTTTTTGTAGAGAGTTACGAACTGAATAGTACATTTGGGGTCCAATTGCAAAGAATAGGCGCCAGGAGCTGGATCTGAAGCGTTGTTCCACGACGCCAGGCTCGTGAATTCGTTGGTGAGCTTGTTCCTCCCGAGCTTGGCCCCCGGAAGAAGCGTGTCCGTTGGATAGTCGAAGCTTTGCCAAAGCGGCGGCGGCGAAGAAGAAGAAGAATCAATTAACACGAAGTTGCCGTTATCGTGGAGTACAGCTTCAAGAGATGGTGGCGATTCCGATGAGCTGCTGCTAACACTCGCTGCCCAAATTGGGACACCGGATTCTCTGAAGAGAAGCAGGGTGCCGTTGGAGATGGTTAGCGCCGATGAAGATCGGTCGGGGATGGGAGTGTTTCTGTTTGCGACCCAGACTACAGTTTGCAAGGGGATTTTGCTGTACCAAATCCCTAAGTAGGAGTTGGTGGAGTTGCCCGGAGAGAAGAAACCCAGTTCGAAGATGCCGCCGGCGGAGACGATGGTTTGGTTGCTGAGGAGCGGTTGGTCGGGAGTGACTCTGTCGGCTGCGAGGCACAGGTGGAAGAGCAAAAACAAAAGGGAAGTGGCGTATTGAAACACAAGGAGCTTTACTGGAGGATGATCGTCCATTGTAATTTACAGCTAGTCGTGGACGCAGATTGCTGCATCAATTTGCTCATATGGGATTTGCAGGGTGAAGAAGAACGAATGTTTCTGGTAAGTTATTGTAGAACTCCATTTTTGACCACTTAGTCCACATACATGACAGCTCAATTTCTGTAGTCAACTCACGAATTCATATTTTGTCTCGGAGCCCTTGGCTGGCCACTGGCCAGATATCACTATCACAGTAGCCAAACAAGTCTTCCCTCCCCAGCCAGAAATCTTGACTTGCTTGATATGCTCATGGCAAAATTCGCTTCCTGAATCATTTGGTCTTTGTCAAGCTACTCGTTAAGATTTAAGAAAATCTCCCTCTTCTTCCCCTCTCCGCCCCGGCTCCGATTCCGGCAACCAACCATGGAAGTCATGGTCCATCGTCTCTGGCTGAACATGTTAGTCATCATCTTCACTTGCTTGTCGCTGGAAACCCATATCTGCATTGCGGACAGCAACAGGATCACTCAAAACCAATCTCTCTCCGGAGACCAAACCATCGTCTCAGCGGGAAGCGTCTTTGAAATGGGTTTCTTCAAGCCAGGTAACTCAACCAATTACTATCTGGGCATCTGGTATTACAGAGTAATAGTCAGAACCGTAGTTTGGGTCGCAAATAGAGAAACCCCCCATTTTCGACAAGTCCTCCACCGAGTTGAGGATCTCCGGCGGTAATCTAGTTCTGTTCAGCAGGTTCAAGGTCCCAATTTGGTCCACTGATGCCACCCCAGCCACTTCTTCCTCTTCATTAGAAGTTGTACTTCTCGACAATGGAAATCTCGTGTTAAGGGCTTCTTCTGCTGCTTCTGATGATGATAAAATCTTGTGGCAGAGTTTTGATAACCCAACTGATAGGTTCTTGCCTGGCGCAAAGATCGGGCGCAACAAAATCACAGGTAAGTACACAAACCTTGTCTCATGGAAGCGTATGGATGATCCTGCCCCTGGGATTTTCTCCCTCCAAATAGACCCAAATGGGACGAATCAATTAGTGATTATCTGGCACGAGTTTTCCCTTTATTGGAACAGTGGGCCTTGGAATGGTCGTACCTTCGGCAAAGTTCCTGAGATGGGACTGAATTACATCTTCAACTCCTCCTTTGTTGACAATGAGAACGAGACCTATTTCACCTATTCTTTGTACAACAATTCCTTCATTTCTCATTTCGTGATGGGTCTTGATGGTAACATCCAACAGCAGTCGTGGTTGGATTCTAGCCGACAGTGGGGTTTGTTCTGGTCGCAACCCAGAGAGCAATGTGCAATTCAGGGATATTGTGGCGCTTTCGGGTCTTGCGATGATCAATCCGGGCCGCCTTACTGTCGATGTGTAGAAGGGTTCGTTCCCAAATCCAAGGATGAATACAGCTCCAATGTTTATAATGGTGGATGCATCAGGGAATTTGATCTTCATTGTGGGAATCTGAGTGCTGGTTTGAAGAGTAGTGATGAGTTTATTCCAGGATATGCAGCGAGTATTTTGAGATCGGGTACTAGGGCCTATAAAGTTGGGGATGTTCAACAATGTGAATCGATATGCTTCAACAGCTGTTCATGTAATGCATATGCTTATCAAGGTAGTAGGTGCTCGGTTTGGTCTAGAGATATCTTTGAGATTCGTAAACTCTCTGTTGATCCAGTTGGACTACCTATCTATATAAGGGTTGCTGCTGAGTTACCAAGTTCTGGTAATAACTGATGACTCGGTATTTGCACATGTTTTCCCCTTTATTTTTTGATTGTTTGAGCTTGAATTATTGCGTCTTTGGCCTATTTTATGCTAGGTTGTGTTCCTTTGTCCCATTTCAGGTCCTAGAACATAAAGTGAAGCATAGGCGCAAGTTTCAAGTCAATCAGAGATCAATTGACGATTCGAGAGAAGAAACTCGGGCATGACCTGAAGAAGAATGGATTTCTACCTCACTTTATGGACAAAGAATCATGCAAGCTTGTTATGAAACGAAAGAGGACGAGACTACGAGCGTCTGGGATCAAACGGCGACTGATTCGGAGTCCGGACGAGGGAGAAACGAAGCATTAAACAGAGGCTGAGCAAGCCACACGGGCAGAGCAGAAAATCCACACGGCCGTGCAAGGTGAGCTGCACGGCCGTGCGACCCTGGCCGTGTAAGAAGCCTGGAATTCAACTAATCGATACGCTGCGTTTTGAATCGCACGGGCAACTGGGTGAGCTGCACGGCCGTGCGGCCTGCCCGTGTGAGTCGGGTATTGCTGTTTAAAACCCGATTTTCAGCCAAAGGAAAGGGGAGAGCTGGGTTTTGGATCCCAAACACCCAAGGGACGAACCAAAGAGAGAAAGGGCGATCTGAGGGCATTCTAAGAGTGGAATTGGAGGATTTCTTCGCCTTGGAAGCTCGAGGAACAAGCCCGGACCTGAAGACTGATCATCTGAAGATTCTTACTGCAGTCTCTTTCTTCTCTATGGAGTAACTTCCCTTCACTTAGGTTTTGAGGAACCCTAGCTATGTTTGTTTGATTGGATGATTGTATGAGTACTCTGACTTGATAATCTTGAGTTCATATTCAATCTATGCATGTTTTCATGATTCAATTCTGCTTTAGTCGAGATTATTGATTCTGCTTTGATCCTATGAGAGGGAATACCTGATTAGGTCAATAGAGCACCATAGATTGATAGTAGTGGATCGATTGCTTTAGTCGAGGGTTAATTCACTGCTTTGTATCGATTGAGAACCTCTTTCGATAGAGAGAGTCTAGTTCAGAACGCATTGATCAGTTGTTCTAGAGAAGGATACGTCCCTCTAGGCAATTGACTCAAGAGGGCCTTGTTCCTTTAGTCGAGACTCAAGGTCTAGTCAAGGATTCTCCGCATTGTGAATGAAAGTGAAACAAGTTAGAATCATCAATCGTTAGTCTGGCTAGTGGCTAGGGGGAATCATACCTAAGTGAGTTCCCAACCTGTAATTAGATTAACTTTAACTGTAGTTTGCTAGAGCAGTTTTAGTTCTTTCATCTTAATCTGGTTTGCTAAATAATAAACTGAAGCTGAGTAATAGTAACTTTAGAGACCCGTGGATTCGATATTTATCACTTGAGCCACTATACTGCAGTCCCTTCCATTGGTTACACTTGGCCATTGTTAGGTGTTGTGTCATAGCGAGTCAAGTTTTTGGCGCCGTTGCCGGGGACTTTCTAGAGTATTAGGAAAGGCAGAAGTTTGTTACTTTAGCGTTTTTCTTTCCTTTTCTTTTCCACCCTTGCTTTTCACTTGGGTGTTTTTGTTTTTGTTGGTGCAGATCCGAATCATGGATCCTAATGGCTTCTCCAACCATTGGGGGTATCCACCACCATCCGGGTGGTATTACCCCGAGACTCCCTTGAGCAATCAAGGAGGAGAAGACTATGGATTCGGGTTCCAGTACCAACCCCCTTACCACGGAGAACAACCGGACTCCTGGGCATATCAAGAACAACCTCATTACCAAGAAGAATTTCTCCCACAACTAGAAGGGCCATTGGAGCTGGAGTTACCCATGGCGGCCTTCACGGGCCATTCTGTAGAGCCATGCTACACTCCACAGCCAGATCCACACTATGAATTGAGGCTTCTCATGGAGAGATCATGCTCCAGGATGGATCAGTGTGTCCAGGCCTATCGTGAAACAGAGGAGATCCTCCTGAGCCTTAAGAAGAGCGTCGATGATCTTGAGCGATCTTGGGCGCAACCTGCTCCAGATCACCCTTCTGCTACCATACAAGAAAAGGAGGAGGAAGAAGAAGGCTACAAGGACATTGTGGAGCACACTGAAGTTATCACGGAGAGCTCCCGTGATGATCATGATCAGGAGTGTCATGTCGTAGCCGACCACACCTTCCCACACCCCAAACTGAGCTTTGAAGAGGCGGGCATGAGTGCGGAGATGCAAGAAGATCTCATGAAAGAAATTGCTTGGCAACTTGCTCTCTAATCCGTGCTAGAAGAAGAAGAGCAAGAAAGGGTGCAGAAAGAAGTTGTGGAGGATGACGAAAGTGAAGCAAGAGGAGTTCTTGATCATTTCCCAGGGGTGATACCACATGAAGAAGGAAGGGAGGTTGAAGAAGAAATTGGCGTCCAGGCTGAGGACGGAGTTAAGGTGGAAGAGGCCTGCACCGGCCATGCGTTACATGTGATATCTCCACCAAACTTCGAGGAACTGCTTAGCAAGGACCCATTTACAGTGTCTCTTTGCCAGACCAAGGTCACATCAACATCGGTCCCTCTTGGTGGACGCGATGGTGGCCAATCGATGCTGTCATATCTGGTTTGGGGCAATGAGACGAGAGAAGAGAAGAAGAGGTCTCGAGGGTGGAGACTTCATCTGCATCAAGTACATGAGCCTTCATCACCTGCCACACCACATGCTCGTGACTTGCGACTCCACCTCATTGACGAGAACCTCAACTTCAAGGAGGTTCTAGCATGGACCGAAACTTAGGAGCCATCGTCCGGCTCACGACGTGAAAGAAGCGCTTGTTGGGAGGCAACCCAACCAGTCGGTTTGCATTTCTTTCTCTATTTCTCCTCGGTTGAGTCAGTTTTGCTATTTGATTTTAGAGTCAATAACTCAACCTTTGTGAGATTTTGTGTGGTGTTTATGTTCTGATTACTCTCTCTTTCTGGAATGCACCGCCTGACCCGTTCATCATCATTCACCCTTGATCTGGTAACTTCGTTCTACCCTCCTTATCTTTCCTCCATTGAGGACAATGTCGTGCTTAAGTGTGGGGGGTGTTCGATTATCTATGCGGGTGAATGTTTGACTGTTTGTGTGCTTGGAGCCTAGTCCACTGTCCAAATTTTGAAATTTGAGGGCTCCAAGTACGTGTTCCTTGCAATTGCCTGCTCAGTATGCTTTGAATTGACAGTCTTTATAGTAATATGCAACCTAGGGAGGTAGTGTAGCACTATGGAGGATGTTGATGCATTTAAGAAGTCTCATTGCTTCTTCATATTGTGTTGGTTGAGTGAGTGAATTAGTGATCTTAGGACCCTTGAATTGTGTGGTGTTGTGGATTCTCTACCTGTCATGGACTCTTGTATCATGTTTTGAGTTTAACAGGTGCTCGAAAATGTGCTTCAAAATAATGTCTCCCGTGCGAATAGGGCGAAAGTGTGTAAGGGGAGACGGTAATTCGTTCCCAATTTCCACCTACTACCTCCAGCCCCCTTACATGTCTTTCCCCCGCACGAGGCTCGAGACATCCGCTCCTGGCATGGCCGGTAAGAGCAGGTTGGGACCCTTGAAAATAACGTCTCCCGTGCGAATAGGGCGAAAGTGTGTAAGGGGAGACGAGAATTCGTTCCCAATTTCGACCTACTACCTCCAGCCCCCTTACATGTCTTTCCCCCGCACGAGGCTCGAGACATCCGCTCCTGGCATGGCCGGTAAGAGCAGGTTGGGACCCTTGAAAAAAAAAATAACAGAAAACAAGCAAAACAGAAAAGAAAAGGGGTTCCAACAATCTTCAAGAAGAAAATAGAGCACCTTGAAAAATGTGAGTCCATGATCTTTTGTTTTTGAGAATCTCTTCATCCACAATTCATTTGTCCTCTGTTCACTATTTGCCATGATGCCGACTCGATACTAGTGCTCTCGCCGAAGAAGCAATGAGATAACTTGTGTGTCGGTTGACCTCGTAAGTTGCTAAATGATCTAGGAAGTCCTCTACCTACGATCTGGGGTGTTTGTTGCTATAGAGGTCTGGAGAGTTGCATTGGTTTGAGTTAGGTTTTCTTGGGGACAAGCAAACAGTTAAGTGTGGGGGGATTTGATGACTCGGTATTTGCACATGTTTTCCCCTTTGTTTCTTGATTGTTTGAGCTTGAATTATTGCGTCTTTGGCCTATTTTATGCTAGGTTGTGTTCCTTTGTCCCATTTCACGTCCTAGCACATAAAGTGAAGCATAGGCGCAAGTTTCAAGTCAATCAGAGATCAATTGACGATTCGAGAGAAGAAACTCGGGCATGACCTGAAGAAGAATGGATTTCTACCTCACTTTATGGACAAATAATCATGCAAGCTTGTTATGAAACGAAAGAGGACGAGACTACGAGCGTCTGAGATCAAACGGCGACTGATTCGGAGTCCGGACGAGGGAGAAACGAAGCATTAAACAGAGGCTGAGCAAGCCACACGGGCAGAGCAGAAAATCCACACTGCCGTGCAAGGTGAGCTGCACGGCCGTGCGACCCTGGCCGTGTAAGAAGCCTGGAATTCAACTAATCGATACGCTGCGTTTTGAATCGCACGGGCAACTGGGTGAGCTGCACGGCCGTGCGGCCTGCCCGTGTGAGTCGGGAATTGCTGTTTAAAACCCGATTTTCAGCCAAAGGAAAGGGGAGAGCTGGGTTTTGGATCCCAAACACCCAAGGGACGAACCAAAGAGAGAAAGGGCGATCTGAGGGCATTCTAAGAGTGGAATTGGAGGATTTCTTCGCCTTGGAAGCTCGAGGAACAAGCCCGGACCTGAAGACTGATCATCTGAAGATTCTTACTACAGTCTCTTTCTTCTCTATGGAGTAACTTCCCTTCACTTAGGTTTTGAGGAACCCTAGCTATGTTTGTTTGATTGGATGATTGTATGAGTACTCTGACTTGATAATCTTGAGTTCATATTCAATCTATGCATGTTTTCATGATTCAATTCTGCTTTAGTCGAGATTATTGATTCTACTTTGATCCTATGAGAGGGAATACCTGATTAGGTCAATAGAGCACCATAGATTGATAGTAGTGGATCGATTGCTTTAGTCGAGGGTTGATTCACTGCTTTGTATCGATTGAGAACCTCTTTCGATAGAGGGAGTCTAGTTCAGAACGCCTTGATCAGTTGTTCTAGAGAAGGATACGTCCCTCTAGGCAATTTACTCAAGAGGGCCTTGTTCCTTTAGTCGAGACTCAAGGTCTAGTCAAGGATTCTCCGCATTGTGAATGAAAGTGAAACAAGTTAGAATCATCAATCGTTAGTCTGGCTAGTGGCTAGGGGGAATCATACCTAAGTGAGTTCCCAACCTGTAATTAGATTAACTTTAACTGTAGTTTGCTAGAGTAGTTTTAGTTCTTTCATCATAATCTGGTTTGCTAAATAATAAACTGAAGCTGAGTAATAGTAACTTTAGAGACCCGTGGATTCGATATTTATCACTTGAGCCACTATACTGCAGTCCCTTCCATTGGTTACACTTGGCCATTGTTAGGTGTTGTGTCATAGCGAGTCAATAACATAATAGTGTTCGGTGCTGTGTGTGGCTCTCTAGGCTTCGTTATTGTTATAATCAGCTTGATAATATTTGCTTGCTTGAGAAGGAAACGCATGGACAAGTTAGGTAAAGTTCTCTTTGTAGTATTAGTGAAGAAAACTAAAAAGAACCTTTCAAGCTCTTATGATATGACAAAATCAGTTAAATTATCAGGAAGCAATGCTGAGAGAAACTACAAGATTGCGAATGAGGACCAAGAAAACAATACCCACTTCACCTTCAAGAATGTATTAGTTGCCACTAACAACTTTTCTGAGACCAATAAACTAGGGGAGGGCGGTTTTGGCCCTGTCTACAAGGTGCACTCGTCTGTTCTTTACACAATAGTTAATCCTTCTTTGTTGTAGTTTTTGTTTACAGTGTTACATTTCTTTCACAGCGAAATATGCTTGTTGGTCATGAAGAAGTAGCAATAAAGAGGCTTTCAAAGAAATCTGGACAAGGGTTGGAGGAATTCATGAATGAGCTAAGGCTCATTGCAAAGCTCCAACATAACTACCTCGTTAGACTCTTGGGTTGCTGCGTTGAAAAGGGGGAGAAGATATTGATATACGAGTACTTGTGTAATCGAAGCTTGGATAAATTCCTCTTTGGTGAGTATACTTACTTCTCCTTACTGAAGAATTACTGCAACCATGTGTTATTATTGATTGTTTGCTAACCCTGATTACCATCTGCGTTGATGTCGCTTGTACGTAGGCTCACCTGTGAAATCAAAGTTAGATTGGCTGAAAAGAGTGAAGGTAATAGAAGGCATAGCTCAAGGACTGCTATACATCCATAAATACTCAAGACTGAAGATCATTCACCGAGACCTCAAGGCAAGCAATGTTCTGCTGGATGCAGCAATGAATCCCAAGATTTCAGACTTTGGAATGGCTAGGATTTTCAGGATTGATCAGGCTGAAGCGAACACCAACCGTATAGTTGGAACATAGTATATGCTTGCCCCTTCCTTTTGCTAATCCTTAAGCAACCAAAATTTGACACTTGATTGATTAGTAATACTAATAGCACCTCACATTTTGGTGCAGTGGTTATATGTCTCCTGAATATGCATTCTACGGACAATTCTCGAAGAGATCAGATGTATTCAGCTTTGGAGTGTTACTGTTGGAGATAGTGAGTAGAAGGCGGAACACAGATTTCTATGATCCTGAAGTCCTGTTTTCACTTGTTTGTTGGGTGAGTACTTAACAGTACTCGTCTTCTAGTTTTCTAGTGACACCAAAACGTGAACCCAGATATGATAGCTTTCTGATGTGTGTGTGTATATATATATATATATATATATGAGATGATGATGATTGAAGGCATGGGAGCTATGGGGAAAAAGGAAACCAGAGGACCTGATTGACCCGTCAGCAAAGGGTACATGTAGCAATCCTCGTGAAGCCATGAAGTATATCTGGTAACGTCATAATTACACATGTTTGCACCCTCGTTTCTTGATCATTTTGGCTTGAGTTTTTGCTTTCTTGGACTATCTTATGCTAGGTTGTGTTCCTTTGTCACATTTCAGGTCCTATCATGTAAATTGAAGCATAGGCGTAAGTTTCAAGTTAACCGGAGATCATTTGGCAATTCGGGAGAAGAAACACGAGCATGACCTGAGGAAGAATGGACTTCTACATCATATTATGGACAAATAATCATGAAATCTTGTAATGAAAAGATGGAGGACGAGACTACGAGCGTCTGGGATCAAACGGCGACTGATTCGGAGTCCGAACGAGGGAGAAACGAAGCATTAAACAGGAGCGGAGGAAGAAATACGGGCACGAGAATTACGACCGTATTTTCCCCTCCCATGCCCGTATTTTCACTGCCGAGAGGAGCTTTGGATGCGCTGAAACTTAACCAAAATGCGTGTTTTGGGCAAAATACGGGCATGGAAGAATTACGACCGTATTTATGCCCGTATTTCGCCCAGAATCGGGTTTTTGAGGCAGATTCGAGCCACAGGAAAGGGGGAGTTGGGTTTTGGTTCCCAAACACCCAAGGGACGAACCCTAGAGAGAGAGAGAGAGAGAGCTACTTGGGAACATTCTTGGAGCTATTTTGGAGGATTTTTTCACCATTGGAGCTCGGGAATCAAGCTTGGAGATGGGGATTGAAGATCTAGATCAGATTTATGCAGTCTCTCTCTTCTCTATGGAGTAACTTCCCTTCACTTAGGTTTTGAGGAACTCTAGTTCCATGTGTTAGGATCTTTCTTGTATGAAGTTTTGGATGCTATATTGTTTGATTAGAATCGATTGAGGCATGATTTATAGAGTCAATTGAAGCCTGGTCATCTTCTCTTGCTTTCTGCTTTAACCTATAATAGATAGAATCTGATTAGGTTAAGAGAGCTTCCTTGATTTATAGTGGTGAATTGGCTGTGCGAGAGTCAATCAATTCAGTGCTTTGTACTGGAATTCATTCCAGTAGTGGAGATCTGTGTGAATCGCCTTAGCAGTCTATGTCGGTGAAGGCTAGTCGCCTGCTGGGTATTCTGTCTAAGAGGGCTTGGTCAGCTTAAGAGATTCCAAGCTAATTTAGGATCTTCCACAGTTTAATCAACAGTAGATCAACCAAAGCTAATTGCAATTTGGACCTAATTGAGGAGCTAGGGGGAATCATACCTAAGTGAGTTCCCAACTTGTAATTAGTAGAATAGTCAGTAGAGTAGTTTACAAATCAATCCTTAATCTAGTTTGCTAGATAATGAACTGAAGCTGAGTAATAGTAACTCTAGAGACCCATGGATTCGATATTTATTACTTGTGCCACTATACTGCAGTCCCTTTCATTGGTTACACTTGGCCATTGTTAGGTGTTGTGTCGTAGCGTGTCAAGTTTTTGTATCCATGTGGGTCTTTTGTGCGTGCAAGAAGCTCCAGGTGAGAGGCCAACAATGTCGGCAGTAGCTCTGATGTTGTCGAGTAGTGATCCCCATTCATTTCCATTGCCAGGAGAACCAGCCTTCACCACTAAAACACCTGATGTTGTCATTGAAAATGGCGATCAAGTTCATGTCAATTGTTCAAACAACCAGATGACAATGAGCTTGCCAAGTGGTAGATAGAAATGTGACCTACTAGTCATCGCATTTTCTTAATAGCAAACCGCATTATATGTGTATGGATGACAATACGATGAGTTTAGAAGAGAACGTACTAGTTGCAGGCTTACAGCAGGTGCTTCAATTTTTTCACACAAATTCATTTTTCTATAATTCTTAAGCATTATATTTACACTAGCTAAATGGTCTGCGCGGGTATGTGAAATTTGCAGAATAGGAATCTATGTTCTAATCTAAACGAGTTGCAAAATGAGACATGGTAATCGATTAAAACCAATTTTTAGGGTGGTGAGTTGTCTCTTGAACTTCAAGTTAATATTTGGTAAGATATCGCTCATAAAGGTAACAGTATTTATTTCCTATTGTCCTGCATTTGAGAATAGATTGAAGGATACAAAGTAAGCGTTCTTGACCTATTCTTCGTTTCATAGTGCAGGAGTAATCACTAGTCAAAAGCATATTTGATACTACTAAGTATTCTCATGTGTTGATTGACAAAAGATATCTATGGCATGCCAGTAAAAAAGTTGAAGATTTTGTGCATGTTGATTCTTGTGCATATACCATAAAAAATCAAACCTGAAATGATTTTCGCAAACAACGCCAACTAAGATGTTCATTTTTGTTTCCTCCTACACATATACATGCCACGTATGAGGCTTTTCACTATTGAGAGATCATAGTTTTGTGCAATTTACCGAGTCACCTGTTGATCATAGTACACTTTAACTAACAAGATTATGCCAATTGGCTTCATACTTACGAATGTAGATAGATTTTTAAGAGACAAAACACACTTCCATAGTCACAACTTTCACGTTTGTGACAAATATAGCCACAATTATAAAAAAAAAACATAAAATTGCCCAAATATTGGATGGTAGTGTTACAAATCTAGCCATTTTTGTTAGAAACTTTAACGGTGTTAGAGACTTCGTGAGTTAGGTTAACGTTAGGCTGACCAGGATACTAAATCATCGCACACGTCAGCAACAACTCAACCACACTTGCCACATAGATGTCATGTCATATTTTTATTTAAAATTAAAAAACTTAATTAATTAGTTAATTTATCCTTTGGATTTTTTGGTTCAGTCGGCTTTTTAGTTTTTGTGCATGCATATCTGAATTCGGACCTGAGCCTGCCGTCGTGGCCGATTTCGAGGAGAAAGTGGGAGTTTTTAGGTTGTGGTTTAACTTTTAAGAATTTGGAGGAGAGGAATTTGGGAGGTCAAAGTGTTGGCGGAGGGGTAATTGGGAAGCCGAAGTAGAGGTGGTGTGGAAGGGGTTTATGAGCGTGACTGTTGGGGGTGGGGGAGGAGTTGATGGCGTTGATGCAATCCAAACTGGGATTGCATGTTTATATACAACCCTACTATTTGGTTTATGTGAATTCCCTCATAAAAACAACATAATGGCTATAATAATTTTGTGGGTCGCATATCATTAATAAACATGAATCAGACTCCACTAGCAGAGCAAATAGGCTCTCAATTTGAGAATGTTCCAGCTACTCCGAAAAGACCAATCATGGACACCCTTAATCCATCTATTGATTCAAGATTTTAGGTGTAGACAACCACACTGTCATCCTATCCACTAACACTCAAATTCATATTGTATGCCCAAACTAACTTGATAAATGTTGTTTCTGATTATAACCGATGCATTTCTGTCAATCTCTTCCATCCAATGTTCTATATTATCTACAACAATCCTTTGAGATGAAAAAGATTAGAGCTGCTTATGTCCCTATTCAAGTTTTGATCTTTCAACTAAAGTCATAAATGTCCAAATAAATACACATCAAATTCCACAACTCAATACATCATACACCAATCGAAAGTCGAAACCAACTATACCTTTAACCCTGAAGTACCAAGAACTTTGATTCTCCCTCTATTGGACCACCCACTACGAACTATCTTCTTGAATCTCTAGAGAAGCAACATGCCCTCTTGACTTCGTTCTCGCCACTGTGTTGAACTGGAACTCTGATACCACTTGATATGAGCACGGAACCGGTACCCATAATTATCAAAGTCACACAGTGAATAATAGGAATAAAAACTAGGGATAAGGTAGAATTGAAGTGCAATCTCGCACCTAAGAGAAGGGTCTATCAATATAAGGGTAGAATCTCAACCACATTAAGGAGAAAACTCGATTGATACAGAGAAAATTCACAAGTCTAAAAGTCAATGAACCAAAATAAACTCAATATTCTTCAATGTCTGCCACAAAAATTGTGTTTAAGCCTTTATATAGGCTAGAGAGAAAAAAAAAAAACTAAACAAAAACCCGAAAAGGAAAAAGAATCACAAACAAAAAAGGTAAATTCACTCGTCAGCCCCAATCCTTGGTCTCATATCCCCAATCGAGGATTTAAACAAACTAACCAAGGTTCATTATGTTTTTGTTGCTAATCCCCGGTCTTCCCCATAATTCCCCGGTCGGGTAATAGAGTCCTCTTGGGCAGGGGGATTGCATCATAACATCAACTTTAACTTTTATATTCATGAAATAAAAAAAACCTTATTTTTTTATTAATTAACACTACAACAAATTCGGCCTATTATGATGAGGAAATTTTGTCATATTAGATACTCATTTTGTCATGTTAGGTATAATATGACAAAAGGTGTTGTCACAAAGGTTTGTCATTTTATCGCCGTCAGGATAGGTCAAATGTGACAAAAGTTTAAAACAAGGTTGTCACATTTGTTTTCAGTATAACTGAGGTTCTGGGTAATCTATTGTGACAAACCGAGATGTTATGACGATATATTTTGTCATTACTTTTGTCATAATTTGCTTATTTTGAAAGAATGTTCGTCATATTACACCATTATATTTTGATATCACATAATTGTGAGGAACAATTTTTTGTCATAAATGCATGTGTGACGAATATATTTTGTCATAACTGTATATTAGGATGAACATATTTTGTCATAATTGCATATTGTGACCAATATGATTTATTCATCAATATATTGAATAACATATAGTTGAAAAAATCAATATTCTTATAACATATAGAAAAAATTCCCAAACCCAGAAAATACAATGCCATCTAGAAAAACCCCAAACCCAGGAAATAATTTCTTCCCCTGCCCCTGCCGTTGCTGACAAAACACTCTTCTTCCTCACTTCCGCCGCGCCGACAACGCATCCTTCTCATGCCCGTTGTTACAGCCGTCGCCTACAACGAACAAGAAACAATAACAAATCAGAAAAGAAACCCCAAATCCAAAGCCAGAAAATGCAAATTGCATCTTCTTCCAATCTCTTCTTCCTCACTTCCATGACTACCGAGAAACCATCCCCTCACCCATCTCCGGAAGCCAAAAACCCTATCTTCTTCCAATCTCAAAACCCCATCTCTAGACTTTGTCCCGTCGCTGAAAACTAAACACCCATATAAGAAAACAGAACAAAACGAAATCAAAATCAAAATCAAATCTCCCAAAATCAAACTTCATATTGAAAATAAAAAATACAACCCACAAAACATACCTTCCATTCTCTTTGATTTCCCCAGCGAATGAGAAGAAAGTGAGAAGAGGGAATCAAAATTAGACAAATCCAACCACCCCCAATATGGATTTGCCTATCGTGCCAACCACCCTCGATCTGGATCTACCCTCTGCATCTCGATCTATTCGAGCCTTTGAAGTTGCGAGGGAGCATGTTTCTGGGTTTACAGGCAGAGGAAGATGGGGTTAAAGTGGTGGTTGAGGTCAACATGTGGAGAGAAAAAGGCGACAAGCGATGGTTGGCAGCCAGAAGGAGGATTCAATGGTTGGAAATAAGAGGAGACCAGAAGTGTCTCGCGATGTAGTGGGAGGAAGGTCGAGCGACAGATCTGGGAGCTCGGACGGGCAATCGGAGAAGACGAGGTCCTTTTGTGTGTGAAGGAAGGACAACTGTGGAAGAAGAGAACGACGGTGGTAGTTCTGAAAGGGTGAGGCAGAGGGTGATAGTGTGAGACGAGAGGAGAGAATCATGGCTGCTAGGGTTTATTTGATTTTATTATTATTTTGTTTCTTCAACCCAACACAAGATATAAATAAATGAGGAAGGCAGGGAGGGAGGGAAATTTCGGTGGGACTTGGGAGGGAATTTTGGGCGGGCTTAATAAAATTTGACTGGGACTTTGGGGGGAATTTGGGCGGGCGTAATAAAATTTGAGAAATAATATGGCAAAAGCTACTCTGACGATATAATTTGTCACTTTTGTGTCTCTTACATCTCGATATGGGATGCCTATTTTGACAAACTTAATTATGACACGAAATATTTGTCACATTACTCACTTCAAATGACAAACTATTCTGACAACAAAAATTTTGTCACAGTTGAATCTCTTACATCTCGATATGAGACGCCTATTTTGACAAAATTATTTGTGACACGGAATATTTGTCACATTACTCACTTTAACTGGCGAATTATTCTGACAACAATATTTTTGTCACATTAGGCATACCAAATAGGACATATATTATTTTTGTCATATCACCATACCTATTGTGACAAATAGAAAATGACAAAATAAAATTTTTGTCCTAATAGGCCGAATTTGTTGTAGTGTAAATTCATTAAAACAGGATCATTTAGCTTACAATTCATATGTCGATCATGTCGGTGATACCGGTGATGTTCACGCAGATTTCATGAATGATACCGTTTGAACCAGGTTCAGTCGGTCGGTATGTCACCGACATGACAACCATGCTCCAGCCTTAGTCCATATCGTATTCAGGCAGTGCAAGATCGTGGTGTAAGACAATGAACGCCCGTGCACCTTAAAAACTAGCGCCGCATTCACTGTTGAATTCCCTCTTCTCCGCTGCAGTGAAGTGAATTTGAGGGCAGTTATGGTCCCCATCTTCCCGAATGGCCTCAACAACTTCTTCAAAGTTTGAATCTGCAATATACCAATTATCCATGCGAACCGCATCACTAAAGAGCCTTCTCGTCGTGATGTTTCCCTGTGT